GAGCTGGTGGCTGCATCCACTTGCTTACACCTTCACCCTGGCTGGCAGTGGGATGGAGGAGGAACTGCCAGCTTTGAGGAACTATTTGGAGTTCCTTGTTCAGAGGGGCCTGAACGCAGCCTCCCCTCTCCAAATCCACCACCAGCTGCCCAGCTGTGAGAGGGGCTGTTGGTTCTCCCTCAGTTCCCTGCCCTGCAGAGCCTGTGTCCCCCCAGCAGTGCTCCAGTGATGCCACAGCAGTCACAAAGTAGATCAAACACCAGCTAAATCCTGGCTTGATATCCCTTGAACTAAATTCCTGCCCTGCCTTCCCTGCTCCCTGCCCTGCCCTGCCATCCCTGCCCTGCCATCCCTGCTCCCTCCCCTGCCATCCCTGCCCTGCCATCTCTGCTCCCTCCCTGCCATCCCAGCTCCCTCCCTGCCGGGCCAGCCTGGGCTCATCTCACCCAGGGAAGTGTCCAACCCATGCACTTTCAGGGAATCATTAAGGTTGGAAAAAGCCTCCAAGATCAAGCCCAACCTTTGACCACACACCACAGTGCCCTCTAAGCCAGATCAGGAAGTGCCACATCCAGTGCTTTTGGCCTCTCCCAGGGATGGTGATCCAGCCCTGCACCAGGTGACTGTGACACCAGCGCTAGCAGGGTGATGAGGGTGAGAACCTCGGGCTATCCTGCCTCACTGAGCCTTGGTCCATGTGTTACCTGCTTCACCTCCCACTTCTCTGGGTGCTGCAGCCATGGGGTAACACCACAGTGCTGTGTGTAGCAGGAATTTGGCCAGCACCTCTCTGAAAAGGACAACAATAAAACACCTGGACAAGTGAGTCATTCCCTCACATCCCAAGCCCAGAGCTTTGGGAAACCTCAGTGAAAGTTACAGGATTGTTTGTCTGTGCCTGCCAGCTTGTCCTTGATACTGTCAGTGGAAGGGCCCAGATTATTTGTGTGTCTCAAGATCCTTTTGAGTCTCTGCGGGTGACAATCTGTCCTCGTGGTGAATGCAGTGGTGACTCAGCACTAGGGACGGAGGGAAGACGACCTTAGGAAAAGCTTTTCACCCCCCTGCTCTGGAGATGTCCAGGAAAGGAAAGAAGATTGAGTGGGGAAAAAATATTAGCCCTTGGCAGAAAGAGGCTTTAGAAGAAGCCCAGAGCTTAATGCCAGGGGGATGCCTCAGGTGTTAGGTTTTATATTTTTCAGATTCTGTGCTGCTTCAGTGTGAACTTCTGAGCTTCACACTAGGGGATGGTGAGCTCTCTGCACAGAGTAGGGAGACAAAATTCCTTCTCTAGCTGGGGACCAAGGACAAATGATCCAAATCTCAGGCCCAAGAGCATAAACAATGTGAGCTGAAGAGGGAAAAACAAGGAGGGTGGGACTGCATGGGCTAAAGCTGTAATTGGACAATTAACTCCAATATGCAAAAAGACCAAAACTTATAAAAGTGAGAGACCCCGTGAGTGGTCACGCATTTTGTGTTCATTTTGGGTGTAGCCCTGGCTGGGCTCTTGTGCTGCCCACGGTTTATCCATTGAGGCCTCCTAATAAATCCCTACTTTATTCTTTATTCTGTCCAGCCTCTGTTCTAGGGCAGCCTGCACAGGGCATCAAGGGGAGGGCTGTACAGTCTGGGGTCTGGGCACACAGCTGCCTCAGGCCTTGATCCCAGCTCTTTCTGCAGCTGGAGCTGCAGGAGTTTCCTTTCTGCCCTTCCAGGGTCAGGGGTTGCAAGAGGAGAAGAGCAGCCCAGGACTCTGGCAGGTGTGGAAGTGACAATTCCAGCAGTAGAACAGTCAGCCCTGTAGCAGCAGCAGCTACAGCAGAAGCAACCCCTCCCCTGTACAGGTGAGCCCTCAAAGCCCTCTGTGGCCTGTTAAAGCTTGGAGAACAGGGGCAGGGAGGGCTGTCAAGGGAGTCTTCATTAAAAGCTCTGTGTTGATGAAGCAAACAAGCTCTGAATGTGCCACCAGTTCCCCAGGGAAGCAAGCCTTGTCTCTGGGAGTGTGATTAAACCAGAGCCTTGTTCCAGTATTTGCTCACCCTCCTGTTGGCCCTCCCAGGCCTCTCCCTGCTGTGGTCCCACTTCCCAGGACCTGCTCACGTCACCTTGGACGTTCCCCAGGGAACACCTTTGGCTGCCCACCCAGCCAGGGCAGCTCAGTGGTTGTTGGGGCAGCCCCTGTCCCCCATGGTCTGTCCCTCAGCCCTGGGTTTGATGTCCCAGTGGCTGCTGCTGCAGTCTGACACCTCCTCAAGCAGAAAAATGTATTACTCCAGAGCTGTGGAGGCTTTCCACAGGACACCAAGCTCTCCTCATGGTGTACCCCACACCTTCCTTGTTCTTCTGCTCTCTGATCCTTCAGGGAGCTTGTTTAGCTCACCAGGTTCTCCCTCCCCCCATGCTCCTGAGCCTTCTGCTGCTCCTGACTGACAGGAGTAGGATCAGACTGGGGTGCTCTGACCCTTCTGACAGCAGCTCAGCCAATGGATGAAGGAACATTTTTATCAGCACGTGCTTATTTTTGTGAACATTAATCACAGAAAGCTCCTACTGGATGAAGAACTCTGCAAGAACCTGTTTTTATATAATCTCATGTAGTCAAATACTCTCCTGTCCTTTTCCTTGCCACAGAGCCTTGGCCTCTGGCCTCAGCACAGCCTCTCTGGAAGATGAGTTTTTTCCCACTGCCAGAGGGCAGGGCTGGATGGGATGTTGGGAAGGAATTGTTCCCTGGCAGGGTGGGCAGGCCCTGGCACAGGGTGCCCAGAGCAGCTGTGGCTGCCCCTGGATCCCTGGCAGTGCCCAAGGCCAGGCTGGGCAGGGCTTGGAGCAGCCTGGGGCAGTGGGAGGTGTCCCTGGACATGGTAGGAGGTGGGATGGGATGCAATTTAAGGTCCTTTCCAAGCCAAACCATCCTAGGATTTTATGAAGTGGCCTTACAACTCTCGCTGTACAAAGACAGCACACAACTGAGTGTGTGCAAGGTCTGTTCCCAAGTGATAGATATTTGTTTGTTCTGAGCTTTATCTCTCCCATCCTGATATGTCTGGTGAAGGCTCAGTCGTGGATCCTCACTGTAACAATGGGATTGAGTCCTGCAGGGAGGATTGGGGTCTTCTAGAGCATCTGTGCTAGCTGTTCCCTCCTCTTCTGTGCCTATGGAGAATGCAGCACAAAAGGTGACAAGTGACACCCTCTGAGCATCCCAGTGACATGGCACATCAGTGGCAAAGACCACTGTGCTGGGGCACATCTCTAAGCCCAGCCTGTTCTGTCCTGCTCCCCACAGAGGGACCGTGGCTGGTGTTGGTCACTCCTTTTATCTGCCACTGCTTGGCTGTGCCTGGGCTGCAGCTGGGAGCCCAGCCAGGGGAAGCAGCTGATTCTCCTTCAGAACAGAGACTTGCACATCAATAAATGTCTCATTACAAATGCTTTCTCCAGCCTCTTGGCTCCCATTTCCTCTTTAGCTTCCCCAGCTTTCTCTCCTGCTGGCTGGAAAGGTGCCTGTCTCCTGAGGGAGCTGAGGAGTGCTGGAAGAGGGGCTGGTGTGGCTCTGGCCTCGCAGGTGAGGTGCTGGACAAGCCATGTATTTTCTTCAGTGTGTCCTGACCTTCCATGTCCTGCTCTGGCTCTTTGTGGGATGTTTCTGTAGATCCTGGTATGCCTTCCAAGGACATGTGGGTCCTGTTTGAGTCACTTTGGAAAACATCTGCCAACTGTCAAAACCAGCTGAGAGGAGAGGAACCACTTCCTTGGGGTAACACAGCTCAGGGCAGGGCAGTTTGTTCACTGAACTCCCAACATGAGAAAATGCTGAAAAAGCTCCAGAAAATCCATGGGAAATGGTAGGTTAGGATGGGATTCTTTTCCCAAAGCAAATGCTCCATTATTACTCAGAAATAGCCACAGCCAGGATGGGGTGGGTCAGGGCTCCCCCAGTGCCTGCTGAGGTTTGGGATTGTTCACTGGGGTTTTCCCCAGTGACACAGAACCCCTGGACTTGTCCCTACAGCCCTGGAGCAACCAGTGCTGCAGGAGAGCCCCTGCACACCACGCTCCCCCTGCTCTGCCTGCAGCTGCTGCTGCTTGAGTCAGTTCCTGGGGAAGAGCAGAGCAGCAATGCAGCTTGTTCTGGCTGCATCACCCTTCCAGGGCATGGACAGAGCCTGGCCTGCTGCAGTGAAGTCCTTCAAAGCCTGGCCCCAGAGCAGCAAGGGCCATCTTTGCTTCAGGAGCTGGGAGTGAGCTCAGCAGGGAAGAAGTGCCCATGGTGCAAGAAGTTTTACCTGAGCCTGTGGGGTCTGGGATGGGAGCAGAGGAGAAGGCAGCAGCTGGAACGTGGTGGAAGGAAACCCCCAGAGAACTGGTTAAAAGCCATTTCCCACCCACAGCCCAGCCCTGGTGCACTTTCCAATGCCCTTTGCAAGACCAGCAGCACCAGCTCAGCCCTAACTCCTCAATCAACCAGAGGAGAGCTCAAAGGCTGGGGAAAAGCCCCTGGGCTGATCACAGGCCCTGCAGGGACTGCCCTGGTTGGCACCAGGCCTGTGGGAGCACAGAGCCCATTCCCTGGCAGTGGCATCAGGCCACAGCACAGTAAGTCACTCGTCCAGATCCTAATCCAGCATTTCCCCTCAGCAGGACCACAGAGTCGTGGAGGGACTGCTCTGATTGCCAGGCTCTGGGGTGGGGGTTTGGGGTGTTTTTCCCAGCATGGCCTGCCAGAGGACAGGCACTATAACCCCTGCAGCCCCCCTTCCAGTGCACAGCCACAGGCATCAGCCTGGCTCCACTGAACATCCCCCCAGCCAGACTTCTGCTTCAGTGGGAAGCACCAGAGCCCTGCACAGGGCAGAGACAAGGACATCTCTGCTGCCTTCACCTCCTGCAGCTCTGACACACAACTGCTGCACCCAAAACCTCCCCTCCACGCTGCTGCCCAGGCTAGTTTTGACAAGCACCTGCAGCCTCCTGCCTTCAAGGGCCCCAAGAGGAACAAGAGACAGCTTCTACGTTTATTGTTACAGTTTAGCACAGTCTTGGACAGAGGAGAAGCAGAAACCAACATGCAAAGCAATTAAAAGTCCCAGGGGCTCGAGGAACACCAGGCACAGCTCAGCTCCTGTCCCTGCTCCCAGCAGTGTCTCTGGGGGCCCTTTCCCTGCAGCTGCTGCTCCACTGTGCCCCAGAGTGGGACGAGGTCATGGCAGACACCAAACCTACACACACAGAGAGGAGAGGAATGGCCTGGGACTGTGGCTCAGCGAGTCAGGTCCTGTGTCTGACTGGAATCCAGCACACTCCAACCAGGAGACTGCCTGAACATCCTGAGCTGGAAGGGAGCCATGAAGATTATCAAGTCCAACTCCTGTCATCAAGTCAAATTTCTTAAACATTGTCTGTGCCAACAGGGAGAAGAGAGATCCTTCAGGAAGAGGTGCTGGCTTCCATAGCAAGTCAGGAGATGAAGCTCAGATATTTCACCACAAATTTCTTGTGTCAGAACTGGCATCTCTTGGAGCAGCAGCTCTTCTAAGTGCCTGTGATGGATGTCGAGGCCAAAGATTTCCACAGCACTGAAGAAATCTTTGCCAACACATAGAAATGGATGTCCCCAGAAGGAAGAGGTGCATCAGGCTTGACTGGCCCTTGCAGACAACACAAGAAACGCCCCCCAGGTGGTGTGCAGAGCCATCATGTCCTCCTGCACCTCTTCCTCTGGCAGGCCTCGGCATCCGAGCCGCACGAGCTGTCCGAGTCACTCCCCGAGGACGAGGAGGAGGAAGGCTTCGATGTGCTATAGTTCATGCTCAAGACCCAGCCCAGTTTGTTGTGCAGCACCTGCTTGAGTCCTGGGGGCAGGGGCAGCACCTCCAGCGTGTCCACGTAGTCGGGCAGGAGCTGGCGCAGGCGGAAGCAGCACAGGTACTGCAGGGACGTGCGGCTGGCGCAGGACCGGATCACCTTCATGCTGCTCTTGGCCGCCGTCGAGCACACCATGGGGTAAAACTTCTTGTTCTGCAGCTTTGTGGCTGCCACCCCTGCCAGGGCACAGGGCACAGAACCAGGGAGGGCACGTTAGTTTAGACAGAGGAATCTCCCCCCTCCCGCCTACCCCAAAGCCATTAACTGCAAAGCTGTTGGGAAAAGCTTTCCAAAATCCCAATCTATTAAACAAGAAACGTGACCTTCCTCCCACTCACTTCACACCTTGCTTTGCCAGAGTTTTCTGCTGCAGCCAGACTCGAGCTGCTCCCACCCCATCCCTGGCTCTCACCTATGCACTTGCGGTTCTTGAAGAACGTCAGTGTCCCGTGCCACGTGTCCAAATGCACCCCAATAATGGAGCCTTGGCCAAACCTTGAGGAGAAGTTTGTTTTGTCCCCCTTGTGATGCAGCAGTCCTGAAAACACACCCAAAAAATGGCATTCTGTGGAAAACCTGCACTCCAGCAATTCATCCCAACTCCCATGCTGCTGGTACAGCCTCGCTCAGTGCCAAAAACATCCCTGCATTTCTGAGCCCTGCCCTCCCCTCCCAGAGGGGCTGGTGGAAAGGCAAAAGTGAGGTTTTACAACTCCAGAGCATGGGGAGCAGCACTGAAACCCCCAAGTGCTGATGTGACAGTAGTGCCCTGGCAGGGTCCCACACCAGGTCTAAGGGCTCTGCAACAAGTGGGTCAGGAGAGACACTCCAAGGGCTGTGAGCTGCCAGCAGCTGCTCTGGTGTCCTTAAAGGGATTCACAGGCCTGGTGGCACCTCTTGTGCCACTGCTGCCCACCCAGCCACCCTGGCCATGTTACCTGTGTAAGAGAGGCCCCAGCTGTCCTCGTCCTTGCCCAGCAGGCTGCAGAAGGTGTGGCGGTACTTGTCCAGGTTCACGTCTGACGTCCCAATCCCCACCATCTGTGAGGCAGAACACAAGCTCAGTGTCTTTTCAAGCAACAATACACAACCAATTCCACCTCCAGATATTCCCTCCTATTCTTGGCTCAGCCCAAAGCAGCCAGAGGGGTTGTTGAAGCCAAGTCAGAGGTTTCAGGGTGGAACTAAAGACTCCCAGCTCTGATTTCCTTTCCTAAGTGAGGAGGTGCAGCTAAAATGCTGGAGGAGGTCACTGTCCTGTCACAGAGTCACAGAATGGTTTGAGTTGGAAGGGACCTTAAAGCTCATCTCATCCCACCCCTGCCATGGCAGGGACACCTTCCACTGTCCCAGGCTGCTCCCAGCCCTGCCCAGCCTGGCCTTGGGCACTGCCAGGGATCCAGGGGCAGCCACAGCTGCTCTGGGCCCCCTGTGCCAGGGCCTGCCCACCCTCACAGGGAACAATTCCTGCCCAACATCCCATCCAGCCCTGCCCTCTGCCAGGGCCATTCCCCCTTCTCCACCTGCTGCCCACACTGGGGCTCAGCCCAGCACAGGGGGGTTCTGGGTGCTCACAGCCAGGGCAGGTCCAGTTCTTATCCTCCAACACTCCATGTCCTTCTCCCAGGGCTGCTCTCACTCATCTCTGCCCAGCCTGGACTGGGGCTTGGATTGCCCTGACCCAGGTGCAGCACTGGCACTTGGGCCTTGTTCAACATTTTTCCCATGGCTCCAGCTCTCCAGCCTGTCCAGGTCCCTCTGGGTGCCCCACCCCTCCCCTCCAGGCTGTCACCTCCCCACACAGCTGGCTGTCAGCTCCAGGCTGGCTGGGGGTGCCTGGTCCCACTGTCCATGTCCCCAGTGCCAGCCCCTGAGCAATGTCACTTGTCACTGGTCTCTGTCGACTCCCAACTCTTTGCATGTGATGATCCAGACAATTCCATATCCACCAAGTGGTCCCTCTGTCAAATCCATGCCTCTCCAGGTTAGAGACAAGGATGCCAAGCAAGGCAGCAACAAATGCTTTGCACAAGTTCAGGTAGATGAGATCAGTTCCTCTTCCACCAACACTGCAACCCCATCACAGGGCACTGAATCCCTTAGTGAGGCCATGGTGGATGTCATCAATCACATCCACATTTTCCATGTGCCTTTTCATAGCTTCCAAAAGGATCTGCTGCATGTTTGCCAGGCCCAGAAGTGAGACTGGTCAGCCTGTACTTCCCCAGATGTTCCTTATTTCCCTTGCTAAAAATGGGGGCTATGTTTCCTCTTTTCCAGTCACTGGGAACTTCACCAGACTCCCACAGCTTCTCCAACACAGCAGATAGTGGCTGAGCCACCTCATCCACCAGTTCCCTCAGATCCCAGGGATGCATCTCATCAGCTCCCCCTGGACTTGTGCACTCCCAGCCAGCCTCAAACCTCCTCTGCCACGGTGGAACCTCACCCTGTCCAAACTCCTGGGCATCTCTGCGTGCCCCACACGTACCATGTCAGTGCCATACACCGGGGAGGTCATCTTGATCTCCCAGAAGTGCTGGCCCTCTGCCAGCTCCTTGTTGCCGCGGATGGCGGCCGTGCCACAGCTGTACTCCATGTGGAAGTTCACCTTGCGGTTGTCACACGTCAGCAGCGTGGCCGTCGACTTGTTCAGGTCATCCCACACCCAGTCAAAATCTGTTGAGGAAGCACAGAGGGGACGAGGATGGGCAAAGACCCTCAGGGAATGAGCCCCAAGCCAAAGCACAGCCAGATGTTTGTTTTGAAGGCCTGCCAGTGGGTTTGTTTCTATTTCTCTTATTGTTTAAGAGGATAAATCTTCAGCTGTGCACATCAGAGACCTGCTTGAGGCCTGAAATACTCTGCAGTGTCCCAGCAGGGATGGATCAGTGCTCCAAAGCTGTCAGCATTCACCAGGCCAAATTCTGGCTGGCACCGGGCACAGCCTCCCTTCTCCCCACATTCCTCATGGGATCAAGGGGTGACTCTGCCCTGCCACAGGCTCTCCCCCCAGCCCAAGCCCACCCTGTGCTCAGAGCCAGGCACGCTGCCAGCCCCTGCAAGGACCAGGAGGGCCCTAAGCACGGGCTCTGTTTCACTGGGGCCTAAGCTGGATTGGAAAGCAGGTCCCAGGGGTGAGCGCTGACAATGCCATAACAGCATCAGCCCTGACCCTGGAAACACAACAGCAGGCAGGGGCTGGAAACCCTCCTGTGCCTCAGGATGCAAACCAAGGAATGCTGGGCACAGGACACTGCAGGGCCCCCCTCCCCAGCCCCTTACACTCGTCCTCCTCGCCGCAGCGGCAGTCGCGGACGCGGTGCAGGGCGTGCAGGCTGGAGCAGTAGGGAGCTTCACTCTGGTTCTCACAGTTGCAGTAGGACTCTCCAGTCACAGGGATGGCACTTGGGATGGAGGGAGACAGGGAGGAGAACTCGGGCTCCGAATCCGAGTCGCTGTGCTGCTGGGGAGAACAGGAATGCTCACTGCTGGGCACCCCTGGGCACAGGAGCAGGGCTGGCAGAGCTCCCTGAGGGCTCTGCTGGACATCCCCAGGCTCCTGTCACACAGGGAGGCTGTGCCCATGGAACTACCCTGCCCTGGGACATGGACAGAGCCTGCTGAGCTGCAGGGACCTCTCAGCACTCTGCGGTGCAGGATGCTCTGTGTGCCTGCCAGGGACACGGAGCTGTCACAGCAGGGTGACAGCCCAAGTGTGGAACACACACATTCTGAAGGAAGTTCTGTGCTAAAGCTTTGGCTTTCACCAGCCAGGTTCCAGCCACAGCAGAGCCAAGCACTGCTCTGGAGAGGCTGTGAAGAGGCTGGGAGGCACAGCAGGAGAAGGGAGAGGGGGCAGAACAAAGGGAGCTAGTTGAGCAGCATGGCTGCAGCCCCTCAGGGCAGAGCTGCAGACAGGCCCACGGGGCACCCAGGGCAGGAGTAAAGGGCTTTTGTTTACTTCCATAAACACAAAAACCTGATTTACTGTTCCCCAGTGCCAAGAGACCACAGTGATCCTGGACTGGACATGGTGAGAGTCACAGCCCAGTTTCACTCCTGTGTTATGGTGCTGCCTAAGGGATTCTCTCACCACTGGTTGCAGTTACTCTAGGTTTACGTGCTGCTCAGGTGCACCTGCTTGTTATTCACCCCTATGGTCAGCAGTATTTAATGGCAAAAATCCTTTAAATTAATGTTCTTGCAGCTGTGTAAGACAGGGAATTGAAACTACTTGGGCTTACATATGTACTGCCCAGCCTCCTTCTCTGGCCTGCAGACACAAGAGCTTGCCTTCTGTCTTTCCTAACTTCTAACTTTCCCAGCTACTGCTGCCTAGAAATCCTGTCATTCCCCTGGCTACAGGGACAGAAAACTGCTCATTTTCTGGGAGCACAGTGCCTGGGTTTGGACACTGTGCTCTGGAGAGCCTCCTGGCTTCAGTGTACGCTCTGAAGCTTCTGGAGCAGCTCCTTGAGTCCCCACCACTGCACAGGGAACTCAACTCACACACTCAAGAATTAGGAAAATAGGGAAGGATGGCAGAGGTGAGTCAGTCACTCCTTGCAGTGTTTTACTCTTGCTCTCCCTGCTGTGTTCCCATCCCCAGCACACCTGGACCAGGTTCAGAGCTGAGGGTCATGCTGCAGAGCAGGAAATGTGAGGAAATTTCGGTCTGAAGACACTGCCCTGAAATCTCCACCACAATCTCCAAGCCTCTCACAGCCCAGGAGCACAGCCAGCCAGATCAGGGAACTGATCCACTTCAAACACTTATCTAGAGCTCTGCTTCCAAAACCAAATTTATAAAAATATTGTATGTCCTTTATGTATGACACACCCATTCCATGCTTGAAAAAGCATTTAGTTTAGCATCAATATTGACCATTACTAAACCCTTCCTGCTTTTGGCCAGTTCACACCTGATATCAGGGACAGGAAACATCCCCTGTTGTCACAGACATATTTTATGAAAAATCCTTTAGCCAGGATCTTTTCTCCTGAGAAGCTGGGGAGCTTCAGCTTCTCCATGTTTTGCTGCTTTGGAACATAATTTGGAGAATGTAGCCATGATATTTTATTTACTTGATGACCAATGACAGCCACCCGTGTTGAGGCTGTGAGCAATCACGAGATTTTGTTATTCATTCCTTTCCAGCCTTCTGATGGATCCTTTCTATTCTTTCAGTATAGCATTTTAACACAATATAATATCATAATACAATAACAGCCTTGTGAAACACAGAGTTAAGAGTCTCAGCTGTTCCCTGGGACCCCGAGCACGCCCACCCTGCGGCCCCAGCCCCCAGCCCAGCGTACCTGTCCGTCGGAGTCGCAGCCCCAGGCGCGGGCGCCGCGCTCGGGCTCGCGCCGCACGCCGCTCAGCACGAAGCGCCAGGCCCGGCTGCTGCGCGGGCGCCGCGCCATGCCGGCCCCACGCAGGTAGGCTGCGGAGAACACAACGTGAGGGAACGCGCGGGGATGGGGGAACGCGCCGTGAGGGAACGCGCCAGGGATGGGGGAACGCGCCAGGGATGGATGGGGGAACACGCCGGGGATGGATGGGGGAACACGCCGGGGATGGATGGGGGAACACGCCGGGGATGGATGGGGGAACACGCGAACACGCCGGGGATGGGGGAACACGCCGCGGATGAGGGAACATGCCAGGGATGGGGGAACACACACACGTTACACCCCTGCCACGCGCCAGTCACCAGCACAACATCACGCGCATGAAGAGCCTCCCCAAACTTCAACCTCCTTCTCCACCCAGGGTGAACTTCTCCCCGAGCCAGGCGTTCACCTGGCCCGAGGAACGCTCCCAGTATCCAGCCGTGGTGCCCCTCTGCAGGAACTGCCTCCAGCAGCCAGCTCTCAGCTGGCCTGGGGAGCTTCAGGGCTGTCAGAATGCCCAAGTCCTTTTGGAAGGACCTTCCAGCTCATCTCCTTCCAGCCCCTGCCAGGCTGCTCCAAGACACAGCCTCCCTGCTGCCCAGGGACCCTCCAGCAGCTGTCCTGGCTCTGGCCACCTGCACCACCCCAGCCCCTGCAGCCCAGCTGTCTCCACCTGCAACTGCCCTCTGATGGAAGACTTGGCTCTCAGTGCTTGGAGAGGAACACAAACCACTCTCCTGCTCACTGGAAGGAAACCAGGGTTGTGACAGACCTGTCCCAGCTGCGAGAGACCCCATGAGTGGTCATGCATTTTGTGACCATTTTGGTTCATCTTGGGTGCAGCCTGGCTGGGCTCTTGTGCTGCCCAAGGTGGATCCATTGAGGCTTTTTATAAGTCCCTGCTTTATTCTTTATTCTGTCCAGCCTCTGTTCTAGGGCAGCCTGCACAGGGCACCAGAAGCAGCCGCCTGTCTGCCAGCCCAGCAGGGATGTTGTTCAGATTTCCTGAGGCTCCTTCCCTGGGCACAGCCTGACAGGCACAGCAGCTCCCAGCTCCCACACAGGGCCACTGCACTGGATGTGACAGGGAACCTCAGCTCCAGCCTCATCTGCCTGAAGTTTATCTTTGCAGGATTCTACTCCCCACCAAGAGGCAGCCTCAGGGCTGTAACCCCTGAACCATCTCCCTCAGCTCAGCCCCGAGCCAGAGCCTGCCATGAAGCACCTGGCCCAGGTCCTCCCGTGCCTCAGTCCCCAGCAGCTCCTGGAAAAGCAGGACCAGAGCCTGCCATGAAGCACCTGGCCCAGGTCCTCCCGTGCCTCAGTCCCCAGTGGGACAGCAGCTCCTGGAAAAGCAGGCCAGGCCAAGGCACAGCCAGCTGCTCATGGATGCTTTGAAGGGCTCTGAAATCCCACCTGCTGAAGCCACCGTGCTGGGAAAGCACCTAAAGGCACGGCAGAAACCCTTCTGCAGCTTTGCTGAGCACCCACGGCAGCCCAACAGAGCTGCCCTGCTCCTCCCTGAGCCAGCACAGAGATCCCAGCACTGAGGGCACACTCAGACATGGAATTGTTATGGCTGGGAAAGATCTCTTGGACCAATGAGTCCAACCATTCCCCCAGCACTGAACCTGTCCTTAGGCACCAAATCCATACGGCTTCTAAATCCCTGCAAGGATGGGGACCCCACCACTGCCCTGGAGCAGTGCAGTGCCTGACCACCCTTTCCATGAAGGAATTCTCCCAATATCCAACCTAAACCTCCCCTGGCACAGCTTGGGGCTGTTCCCTCTCCTCCTGTCCCTGTTCCCTGGGAGCAGAGCCCGACCCCCCCGGCTGTCCCCTCCTGTCAGGAGCTGTGCAGAGCCACAAGGTCCCCCCTGAGCCTCCTTTTCTCCAGGCTGAGCCCCTTTCCAGCTCCCTGAGCCCCTCCTGTTGCTGCAGCCCCTTCCCAGCTCTGTTCCCTTCCCTGGGCATGCCCCAGCCCCTCATGTCCTGCTTGAGCAGACCTGCCCCTAGCACTGGAGCAGCCCCAGCAGCGGGGACGGGCCTGTCCCGCTCCTGCTGCCGCGGCAGCGCTGCCGCTGAGGGCCCGAGGCGACGCTGCGGCGTGACCCGCACAGCCCCGCACCGAGCGGCGCGGGGGGACCACGGCGGGGGGCCCGGCTCGGCCCGGCCCGGCCCGCCCTGCCCCGGCCCGGCCCGCGCCGCTCTGACCTACTTTCCTCTCCCGGGACATAAACAATCCGCTCCCGGCACCGCCTCCGCGCGCTCATTGGCTGCGGCCGCGCCGCGCCCCTTCGCTGTTGGCTGAGTCATCTGTCACTCACAGGCGGAGGGGGGGATGAAGGGGGCGGGGTCTAAGAGAACCCGGCGCTATTGGCTGCTTCGTGTGCCAATCGCCAGAGAGCGGCGCCATTGGGCGGCCGCTCGCGAAGGGAAAGCACTAAGTCCATTGGCTGATGCGAAGGGAGCACGAGAAGTAGATTGGCTGCAAAGCATTGGAGGGCGGGCTCTCCGGTGAAAATGCGGCTTTCGATTGGGCACATCACCTGTCAGTCTAAGGGGGCGGGGCCGTGGGCCGGCGGAAGCCGGAAGCGGGTGGTGCGGGGAGGCAACATGGAGGAGACAGCTGGGGGTGAGCGGCGGAGCGGCCGCGGGGAACCGGGGTCTCGGCCCGGGGGGGCCCTGCCCGCCTCCCGGGGGACGTCCCAGCCGAATGACCGGGCCTAGCGGGGGTCAGGGCCCGGTTCCGCGGAGTTCCGAGGTGCTCGGGCCGAGCCGGTGTCGCGGTGTTCGGCCTGGCTCCTGGTGAGGGGCGCGCCGCGCCGCGCCGCGCCGGGCCGGGCCGGGCCGGTCTGGTCTGGTCTCCCGTGGGCGGCGGCCACCGCTGATCGGGAGGGACGCTGAGCCCTGCCAGGAGCCCGGGCCCGGCTCCCGCGGCAGACAGCGCGGGGCTGCCGCTGTCGCCGGGCGGTGTCCCCGGAGCCCCTCGGGGCCGGGCCTCGCCTGCCCCTCCCGGGCCCTTCTCCCCCGCCCCGCTTGGGGCCCGTGCCCTTTACCGTCGGCGGAGGCGCGGATGAGCTCTGCCATGGTGCGTGCGGGCTCCATGCCGCCGCTGCGCTGCCGGGCCAGCCCCGGCGCGTTGGCTCCGTGCCCGGTCGGGTCGGTGCCGTTCCCCGGCTGTGGTGGAGCGGCCCGGCCGCCCCTGTGCTGCCCCGGGCCGGGAGCTCCGGTGCCGAGCGCTGCCTGCTCCGCGGAGCTGAGCCCAGAGCAGAGCCGGGAGCGCTGACAGCACAGCGGGGAGCGCTGGAGAGGAGCGAGGGGCCGGCAGGAAGCGATGGTGTGGCACGGAGGGAGGAAACGCCGAGGGCCTGAGCTCACCGAGCCTCGGGCCATGCCCGCTCAGCCTCACCAGCCCCGTGCGTGTTTGTTGTTCTGCTGCCCGATTTCCACTGAGGTCATCGGGAGCAGCCTTTGCTCCCCGCACACGGGGATCATTGCCATTGTTCTCAGTGTTCTGCCTGTGATGACAAAAAGCCTGTGGCACCTCCAGCTCTTCCTTGCCACTGCCTCACACTGAGGGCAGAGCTCAGCAGCTCCTCCCAAGCATGATCCTGGGACAGGGAACAGCTGGAGCTGTGCCAGGGCAGGTTTGGGTTGGAGATCAGGAAAGGTTCATCCCCAGAGGGTGCTGGCACTGCCCAGGCTGCCCAGGGAATGGGCACAGCCCCGAGGCTGCCAGAGCTCCAGGAGAGCTTGGACAGTGCTGCCAGGGATGCCCAGGGTGGGGTTGTTGGGGGTCTGTGCAGGGCCAGGGGCTGCCCTGGATGATCCCTGGCTCCCTCCCCACCGAGGTTCTGTGGTTGTTCCCTGCAGAGAGAGCCAACCTGGCCGGGGTGCGGCACATCCTGCTGGTGCTGTCGGGGAAGGGCGGCGTTGGGAAGAGCACCCTCTCCACTGAGCTGGCCCTGGCGCTGCTGCACGCCGGCAAGAGGGTGAGTGAGCCTCTGGGGAGCTGGCTCTGCCCTTCCCTTCCTGCCCTCAGCTGGGCTGGGGCAGTGTGTGGATTCTCTGTGAAAATGTGATTTGTGATAGTGTGATCCAGTTCAGGTACTGCAGTTCATTTCTCCTTTGTCTATTTTATTAAATCACCCAATATTTATTGTTGAATTTGGCACTGGGACGTGACTTTGCTGCTTTGTGGTGTCACTCCCTCTGTGGGGTGAAGTGGGTGAGCTCAAGGACTGTTAAATGGGGATAAAAAGGAAATGTGTGGGCAGGGGACAGACTGAATTCCCTGAGGACCTTTCTAAAGGCTCTGTGCAGCCTGTGCCACTTGGGTTCTGGCATAAAGCACTTGGAAACACCCAGGGGATGCTCCTTGGGGAGCAGGAGGTCAGGAGGGATATGAAATTTAAAGCATTTGTGTTCCAAATGTGGCTGTTGTGTATCAGATCCAGGGCACCCCCAACAAGGAGAGGAATGATGCATCTGACTCCATCTTATCAGAAGGCTAACTAATTACTTTATTATACTATATTATGGTACACTAAATTACATTTCATCTAAACTGAATCTGCCAAGCACTCAGCTCTGCAGACAGCTGCACAGAATCTCATGACTGTCAGCCCACAGACCCAACACTCACACACACACTTGGCCCTGACAGGCCAAGGAAACAAAACACCATCACTGTGGGTAAACAATCTCTATATTGCATTCTGCTTTGGCACAACACAGGCACAGCAAGTGAGGTAAGAATTGTGTTTTCTTTCTCTGACGTTCAGAGAATGTGAAACCCTGCCGGGGTTGGCTGTCAGTGGTCTCTGCCCCAGCACAGGAAAAGGTGGTTCTGGGCAGGCTGCGCTCTGAAGAAGGAGTCTGGACTCTTGCTTTTGCTCTTCAGTTGGGTTTATTGTTCCTTATCTACAAAGTTTTTCTGTCTGTCCAGCCAAGGTCTGATCAGCAAGACAGCCAAGGGCACTCTCTCCCGCCCACGGGGTGCTTGTCTCTTTTATAGTGAAAACTACGTATAAGATATTTACCTTTAATTTCCAATACTTTTCGTTCTTGTTGGCAAGTGCACTTTCCCTATGAACCAATCCACACATGCCAACATCATCCTGAACATGGATGCCAAGGAGAAGAAAGAAGGACAGGGCATGCCCAAATCCCTCCATCTTAGAAACCCCTGACCTCCATGTATAGAATTTCAAACCCCCCTGTACAAGGTTCAAAACCCCCCTGTACAGTGCTCCAAAATTTTTTCCTTCACCCTGTGATTCCTACTACTGTGCCACTTAAACTTGTGTGGCCTGTAATCCATTATATAAGGTTGGCAATTTGCTCCATGAGTTAAGATCGAATTTCCAGGTGTCTTTGGCTTCCTGCCAGGGTCTCCGAGCCCCTGCCAGGGCTTTGAGACATCCAGGGCATCCAGAGAGATGCTCTGGGTTCCGACAAAACCCAGGAATACTCTTGGGAAGAGCTGTGCCTTTTCTGTGTGCAGAGAAGTGAGGTGGCAGTTGTGGAACACCCAAATCGGGGTGCCCGGGGGCTCCTGAGCCCGCCCTGAAGGCTGTGCCTGTCCCCAGGTGGGGATCCTGGACGTGGACCTGTGCGGGCCCAGCATCCCGCGCATGCTGAGGGTGCAGGACAGCGCTGTGCACCAGTGTGACAGCGGCTGGGTGCCCGTCTTCGTGGGCCAGGACAAGGCCCTCGCCCTCATGTCCATCGGCTTCCTGCTGGAGCGCCCGGACGACGCCGTGGTGTGGAGGGGACCCAAGAAAAACGGTAACGCCGGGGCTTGCTGCTGGGCAGCCTCCTGTGAGCCCTCCTGCAGCTGCTGCTGCCTCCTGGAGAGCTTATTCCCTGGGGGAATGAAGCTGCTGTTCCACGAGGGTGGGTTGAAGTCACTCGGATGGGGACAGTGCAGCACAGCCTTGTCCCCTCTCCCTGTGCCACCTCCCAAGCCCGTTGTGGTTTGGGGTTTTTTATCTGCCCCTTTTATTTCCATAGCTTTGATCAAACAGTTTGTCACCGACGTGGCCTGGGGGGAGCTGGACTTCCTCATCGTGGACACACCACCGGGCACGTCCGACGAGCACATCTCCACCGTGGAGGCCCTGAGGCCCTTCCAGCTGCTCGGGGCAGTCCTGGTCACAACGCCTCAGGTGGGACACGGAGCTGGAATTCCTGGCAGGCAGCACGTTTGGAGGGGGGAAATGCACCCCAGGTTTGCCCAGGGCTGACTGTGGATGCTTGTTGTACACATGTGCTCTGGGGGCACAGTCGGCGTGGCCAGAGGGACCCCAATGGCTGCTGTTCCCCTCAGGCTGTGTCCGTGGGGGACGTGAGGCGGGAGCTGACCTTCTGTAGGAAGGCAGGACTGCACATCCTCGGCATCGTGGAGAACATGAGCGGCTTCGTGTGCCCCCACTGCTCTGTGAGCCCTCCTGACCTTCCTGTGCAGCCCTGGGGCTGCTCTGGGCCCTTCCCTGTGCTGGTGGGGTGGAGAATTGGGAAGTGCCATGAGGGTGGTGCTGTGAGCCAGGGAGGGGAGAGCTGCCAGCTTTGGGCTCTGCTGTCCTGAGGGGAGGGAGAGGGCAGGGCACAGGGCATGCCTGGGGCTGCAGGGTGGAGGGGAGCTGGCCCTGCTCAGCTCCTGCCCTCTCACAAGGGCTCTGGCCTTCCTGACTCACTGCTCTTCCTCCCTCAGGAATGCACAAACATCTTCTCCAAAGGGGGAGGCGAGGAGCTGGCCAAGCACGCCGGGGTGCCCTTCCTGGGTGAGTGGCTGTGCAGCAGAGCTCTGCCCAGGGCTGCCTCGTGGTGCTCTGGGAGGGCTGAGCACAGGGAAGGAGCAGCACGGGGGCAGGGGCGCTGGGCTGTGAGCCCCAGGCACCTGGGCAGAGCTGAGGTTTGTGCTTTACTTCTCTGCCATCCCAACTTCTCACAGTGGGCCCCTGGCCCTGCTGGGGCAGAGGTGGTGATGCCAGCAGCGTGCTCTGACTGGTGACATCGTGGTCATGGTATAAACAGGCCTGGAGATGCATGAGAACCATGTTGGAATGTCTGGAACCTTCCTGAGAATGGGGCTGAGGGCTGAACCCATCCCTGGACAGGGCTGGGATCAGGTGGGAGAGCCCCTCTCATGAAGCACCAGGGTGGGGCGGGGTCTTGGAGGCAGAGGAAGTGGTTGGAGGTGAGAATTATCTCCTGGAGAGCCCAGGGAGGGCAGTGGGGGCTCTTCCCTACCACGTCCCTGGAGTTGACTGTGGCAGTGTGTGTTTTATCCCTGGCTGCAGACCTGGGCCCTAAAGGGAGCGAGCTCTCACTCTCCCTCCCCTGTCCCACAGGCTGCGTCCCCCTGGACCCCCAGCTCAGCCAGAGCTTGGAAGAAGGCAGAGACTTCATCCAGGAGTTTCCCAAGAGCTCTGCCTTCCCTGCCTTGACTCACATTGCCCAGCAGATCTTGGACACATCGCAGAGGAGCTCCTGAGGCAGGTGTGGAGCTGGACTGGTGCCAGGCTGGCAGCCCAGCAGCGGGAAGGGGCAGGAACTGTTCAACTCAAGCTGGGGTGTGAGGGGGGGAGCACAGATTCCTGCTGCTGCTGGCAGTCCCAGAGGGAAGAAGCCACATCCCCTCATACTCAGAGAGACTCTGGAGCTGCAGTGTCCAGGCTGTTCTTCCCTGAGCATTCCCACATGGTTCTGGTCACCTGGATCATGGCTCCATGTGCTGCTGCCTTCTGCTGCCCCTGCCTGATGGATCACACAGGCCTTGCTTCAGTGGCTGGCTCGTGCTGGGTGCTCCCATGTGGAGCCAGGCCAGGCCCCTGAGCTCGGAATTCCCGGCTGGCTGGTTCCTGATGGGCCATGAGGGCACAGCACAGCGTGGGCTGGGCTGAGGAAGCACCTTCAGGAGCTGCATCCCATCGTGCTGGGAAGGAGCCCTCAGGCCTGCTGGGCTTCTGTGACTCAGGAATATTTTTCAAGGTTCCAGGCAGTAAACCCTTTTCTTAAAATGCAGGTCTGTGAAACTTCTGTTTTTCCATGGCTTCAGGCCTCGCTGTGTCTCTGAGTCTTGGCCTTTCACATACATCAAGGTGCTTCCTGCTGTTCCCTGGTTTCCTTGATGGAATTCAGCTAAATCTCTCCTATAACAGCATCAGGATCCAGCCTGTCCCTTGTCTTGCTGTGAGTCAGCCCTGGCAGCCCTTCATGGAGCTGTTCTCCAGCCCCAGCCTGGGGCTCCTCTGTGTCCCCAGGTGGTTCCTGCCTCTTCCACTTCCCAGTGTCCTGTTCCCTGCCCCTCTTCCCATGGACTGTTGCTCCCACGGGAGCTGCCCTCCTCTGGCAGACTTGAGTTAAGCTGGGGAAGCCATGAAGGTGGTGGCCTTGCATCTCACCTCCCTCCCTCACAGACTCTCTGAGCTGCTCCTGCCTGCCTCCCTCTCTGCCTTTGGGACTCCCCCTCGCTGTGAGGTTTTGGGAAGGCAGGGAAATCCTGGATTTCCACTAACGAGCCTGGATTCCAGCAGGTAGGAGCAGGAGCAGCACCCAGCCCTGCTCCCACTGCACAAGGACACCCGAGCAGGTTTCCCCTCATGCAATTTTCCAGGAAAATTTTGTCTGACCTTTGGACACTTATCTGGGATTTGGAGAGCTGGGCAGTAGCTGGAATCTGTCAGGGCTGTTGGCTTCTGTGGGATAGCTGGGCATTTCTTGCTCCCTCCCTGGGAACAAGCCACCCCCCCAAGGCTTGCAGGAAATGCTGGGAGCCCCCTGGGATCCTGAATCCCTCACCCCGAGGGGTTCTGGGGAGAAATCCCAGCCACTGGCAGCACGAGCTTTGGAAAAAACGTAACTTACAAGGTGGGTTGCAATAGCTCCAAAGGTTTATTTGTCTGCTGCCATTTATCAGGTGAGCAACCAGTGCCTTTCTGTGCCCTGCCTACACCTGCTGCTGCAAGGAATCATTGCAGCAAGTCCTCTGCCCCTTCCCTAAGCTCGGGGGGGCTTTTAGGATTTCTCCACTGCTCCATGGCAGGAAAACTCTTTGTTTTGTCTCATAAAAGTCCTGGCCTGGGCAGGGCTGCCCCTTGCTGTGGCTGCAGGGCTGGGGGTGCAGCATTCCCCCAGCCAGAGATTCTCCTGCTGGGAGCTGGGAGCAACCACGCTGTGCCCTGGGGGCTGCTATTTAAATATTAAAGGACTGAAATACTCAGTTTGAAGCCCAGGGGGCTGCTGCCCATCCAACATCTTCTGAGCAGGGCGGCTGCTGGAGGCGGTGGCAAATCCGTGCTCTGGCCGGGGTGGCCACGGGGCCGGGATGAGGGTCCCTGGGAGGGCCAGCCCGGCTCAGCAGTGAGCAAAGCTGTCCTCGGCAGTGTCACGCAGGTCCAGCCCCGCCAGGCCCGGGGGCTGCAGGCAGGTGAGGTTGTTGAAGGTGTAGACGGGGACGTGGCTGTCGTCCCCCTCGGCCACCGACTGCACGAAGCGCGGCACCACGGCCGGGTGCTGCAGGGAGAAGTCCCGCAGGCCCTTCAGGGAGCAGTTGCAGTGCCAGTTGTTGCCCCCCAGCCACAGCTGCTCCAGGGTGAAGGGAGGGCACAGGAATGCCACCGAGAAGGTCTCCAGGGAGTTGTTGCTCAGGCTGAGGTGCCGCAGGTTGGCCAGGGGGGAGATGACGCTGTTGTCCAGTGTCTCCAGCTGGTTGTGGGAGAGGTCGAGCCAGAAGAGTCTCTGGAGCGGGCTGAAGGTGTCCTGGGAGATGTCCAGGAGCTGGTTGGAGGAGAGGAAGAGGTACTCCAGGTTGCTGAGCCCCGTGAAGAGCCGGGGCGAGAGGTGGCTCAGCCTGTTGTGCTTCAGGTCGAGCTCCAGGAGCTCGTGCAGGTCGCTGAAGCTCTGGTCCTCGATGACAGAGATGCTGTTGTGCTGCAGGAAGAGCCGCCGCAGGCTGGAGAGCCCGGAGAAGCTGTTGGCCCGGACCCTGCCCACGCAGCTGTGCTCCAGGTGCAGGCTGTGCAGCCTGGTGACCCCCTTGAAGACAAAGTCAGGCAGGACCTTGATGCAGTTGGCAGACAAGTGCATCACGGCCACGTTGTGCAGCCCCAGGAAGGCCCCGGCCCTGATGTCCTGCAGCTGGTTGTTGTTGAGGCTCAGCACCTCCAGCTGGCCCAGCCCCTCGAAGGTCCTCTCCGCCAGGCCCCGGATCCGGTTGTGCCCCAGCTGCAGCTCCTCCAGGAACTGGAGGTCCTTGAAGGTCCTGGGCCTCAGGCTGGTGATGGCGTTGGTGGACAGGCGCAGCACGTGCAGGCTCAGCAGGCCCAGGAAGGTGTCCTCGTAGAGCGAGACCAGGCGGTTGTGGGACAGGTCCAGCCACCGCAGGGACTTCATGCCCATGAAGGCGCGGGGCGCGATGGCGGTGATCTGGTTGTGGTTCAGGTACAGCTTCTGCAGCTTCTGCAGCTTGACGAAGACGTTGATCTTGATGCCCTTGAGCGCGTTCCCGCTCAGGTCCAGCTCCTTCAGCTCGGTGAGGCTGCAGAAGAGCTGGTGCTGCAGGTAGGGCAGCTTGTTGCCCGCCAGGATCAGCTCCCTCAGGTTGGGCAGGTCGTGGAACACCTTGTCGGGCAGCACCACCAGCGAGTTCCAGCCCAGGTTCAGGTACCAGAGGTTGGAGAGCCCGGCAAAGAGCCCTTCCTCCACCTTGCTGAAGTGGTTGTTGTTGAGGCTGAGGGACACGAGGTTCTGCGTGTGCAGGAAGGTGTGCGGGGCCAGGTGCCTGAGGCGGTTGCGCTCCAGGTGCAGGTGGTAGAGGCTGCGCAGCCCGTGGAAGGCGTGCTGCTCCACCGAGCCCAGCTGGCTGCTCTGCAGGTCCAGGAAGTCCAGGGCTGACAGGTTCCTGAAGGCTGCAGCCGGCAGCAGAGTGAAGTTGTTGCCGTCCAGCCACAGGGCTTTGGCGTTGGGGGGCACGTCCTCGGGCAGGCGGCTCAGGTTGCGGCCGCTGCAGAAGACGTTCAGCTCCTCGCTGTAATCGTCCAGGCTGCAGGCGCAGGGGCTGGGGCAGCGCGGAGCCTCGCCGTCCCCCGGCTCCTTCGGGGGGTCCCCCCCGGGGGGCTGCGAGGCGGCAGCCAGCAGCAGGGCCAGGGGGAGCACGAGGGGGATGCCTGCTGGGGGTGGCGGAGAGGGGACAGCGTCAGTGCCGGGCTGGGCTGCTCTAGGGGACACCCCTGGGACACCCTTGGGGCACCCTTGGGACCCCTTGGTGCCCGCACCGCCGGGGCTCGGGGGGATGAAGGGGTCACTCCCGGCCCGCTGCGCACACGGGGCAGCTGCGGGGCTTTTCAGGGGCTGGATCCCTTGGGAAACGCTCCGAGATCACCCCCCACTGCTGGCACTGCTCTGACCCCCCGAAATTCATCTCCATGTTGCAGCGGCAGCTTCTCCCTGTCCTGGGAAAGGCCCCCAGACCGCTGTCCCCGCTCCTCCCCGGCTGCCCCCGGGGCTCGCTCGGCACCGGAGGGTCCCGGTCCCACGGTCCCTGCCCATCCCTGCGCTGCCCAGCCAGGTGTGGGCTCTGCCCTGCCGTGCCTGCAGCCCCCCAGGCAGCTCGGGGCCCCCAAAATGTCCTGTGAGCAGTGGAGGAGGAGCAGAGTAAAGGGTGACTGGAGCCCGGGCAGAGCCTGAGCGTGTCCCCCCGGTCCCCGCGTGTCCCCCCAGCCCGGCCCGGGCAGTTCAGCCTCACCTTTGCCTGCGCTCATGGCGGCGGGCAGGGCAGGGCTCCCGCTCCGCTCTCCGGCCCCTCCGACTGCGCAGGGATGGATGGAGCAACCACCTTGACGCCTGTCCAGCCACCCGCCCGGCCGGGCTTAACCCCACTGCTGCTGGCCCGGCCGGGGCAGTGGCACCGGCACGGCTCCTCGGGACTGCCCCTGGGGCAGCTCGGGACAAGGACACGCAACGAGATGTCCCGACCCTGATGGGGGCCCTGCAGAGGGGGGTCCTGCCAGAGATGGGGTCTGTGTGGGCTCTGAGCCTGGAGGGAGGAATGGGGCAAGCTCAGAGGGTGTCCCAGCTCCGTGCCCTGAGCTCCTGGAGGGTGTGAGCAGCAGCACGGACCCTGCCCTGCCCTGCCCTGCCCTGGGTAAGCCCTGGCACTGGGTCCTCACTTTCCATCAGGACACAAAAACCACACTCTGGGGCTTGGAGCATCCACAGGACACCGGGGTTAAGGGTTTGGGGACCAGCCTTAGTGCAGGGTGGGCTGAAACACCTGAGGGTTTATGGTGATGCAAGTGGGAAATGAGTTGGGAAAAGGGAAAAAACTTCCCTGTGTGGTACTAAAAACCTCAGGGCAGAACCCTCAGCCCCTCGTGGGCATCTTCCCATTTTCCCTCCTGTCTTGCCTTGTGAGTGGGAATGGTGCTGGGAGCTCTACACCCTGCTGTGCCCAGTGCTTCTGTGCCAAACTGAGAGCACAGCCAGGGTCCCCCTGCTGGGGTGGTGGCCCTGGGGGTCCCCTGCTCCTCTGCCAGCCCCCAGGCAGTGGGATGAGGGCGGGTGATGCCCCAGGGCTGGCAGATCACACTCTGCCCCTGGCAGCTCATCAAAACCACCCTGGGAGGCCGCTGACCCCATCCTGTGTCCCAGGTTATTTCCCCACCAGGCTCCAACACAGAAATCTTTCACCAGTTTCCAGGAAAGAAACAGAAAGAAAAAGCCCCGGCAAGAGGAGCCCTGAGGCCAGAGAGCAGAGCCATGGCTGAGCCTTCCCCTGTCCCCTCCTCCCTGGAGCTGCACCAGGCTGGCACCACGGGCACCCTCAGCTCCAGGAGCAGCAAGCTCTGCCCTGCAGCTGCTCTTCCCAGCCCTGCCTCCCCAGGCTGCTCTGCGAGGAGCAGGGATTCACTCCCACCATTCCCACACCACGGGCACCCCACCATGCCCCACCTTGCCCCTTCCCCTGGGAGCCTGGCACTTCCCCAGCTCCCAGGCCACACCTCGGCTCCTCACCCGGCATTGCCATGCCCGTGGAAAGGAGTTGGAGAGAGACATCCAGGCTCCAGCCTCACCACCCAACTTTCCCACAGGCTCTGCTTTCCCTCTTCCCTTTTGGCCCCGAGTGGAATCCTCCTCCCCCTCTATTTTAATCCTGTCTTCTGGGAATTTATAGATCAGGAGGGAGAAGTGAGAGATAGGGATACATGCACCCACTAATAGGCACTGAGCACATATTGACACAAGGTGTAATCAATCTGGAAGCCAAAAAGAGCTGAACCAGCACAGGTCAGCCAGCCAAAACCCACAAAACCTCGTTGGGAAGTTTAAACAAGCCCTGCCTGCAGCTGGGAGCAGGTTTATCCCTGCCTCCAGCACCCTCCCTGGGGAAATATCAAATGAGATGCAATGGGAAATTGAGGAGGGAAACAGGGAAATCCCTTCCCAGAGTGGTTGTGGTGCAGGGAGGAGCTGGGCCCATCTCCACCTTTAGAGATCCTTGAGGCATCTCCTCCAGGCCTGTCTGTGCCCCTGAACCTCCCTGGCAGCCTCGTCCCCACATGGGTCCTGTGGCAGGAGGTGCTGGGACCCTGCTGCTCCTGCTGCCCATGTGCCCCCGTGGGGACCTGGCTTTGGGTCCCCACCACGCCTGTCCCCTCCCCAGCGTGTCCCTGGCTGGTGTGGACCCCCTGTGTGACCCCCCACCCCTCCAGCTCCTGCAGATAAACTCCAGCCCGGGCCAAAGTCTGAGCCCCTCCCTGGTTGCCATGGAGAAGGCTGTAATGGTATTAGGAAAAGCAGCAAAATCATTAAAAAGTAGTTTTTAAACCTATTTAAACTCTAAGGAATCATTTACCTTCCCCAGCAGCTCCTGCAGGTCCCTCCCCAGGGGTGGGACATGCCACCAGCTGTCCCTGCTGTCCCTGCTCTGTCCCCGGGCTGGCCGGCCTGGGGAGGGGACAGTGCTGGGCCACATCTGCTGTGGGAGCCCGGCAGGTCCCCACCAGGCAGGGCGAGTGACCAGGGCCACTCTGCACAGCAGCAGGGACAGCACCCACCCAAGGAGCCCTGGGGAGCCGGGAGGTGACACGTGTGGCACTGTCACTGCTGAGTTAGGGAGTATTTTTAGCAGATCTTGCCAAATATTGTCCCTGTCTGGAGGAGGGCATCTCGTGTTGCGAGGGTAGCCAGCGCTCCTGCTCCTCGTTCAGGACCAAAACCGTGCCCAGCGAGAGGGGAGGGGTGACACCAGCACCACAGGGCTCGTGCCATCTGCTGGGGACACCAGCAGGGGCCCAGCCCCAGGGGTGGCACTGTGCCTGACGCTCACCCTGGTCCCTGCTGCTGGTAAAGGTCCCCGTGGGCATCTCTGAGTGCCCCGGCTGCAGAGCCTCGTGTGGGAGGCTGGGAACGGTGCCCGATGTTCTGGAGCTCCAGGGATGGCAGTGCCTGCCCTGGTGGCACACGTGGCCACCGTGTCACCAGCACCAGACTGGTTGGACTGGAGAGGTGAGGCCGTCCCCAGGATGTGACTCAGGGTGGTCAGGGCCATTGCTGGAGGCAAAGATGGGGAAATTCCCAGACTCTGAGGTGTGGGGAAGAGGGGCCCTGGGAGCGGGGTTTGGAGGCACAGGGAGGGCAGGAGGGCAGCGGCTGGCACAGTGGAACTGTGGAGAACACAGGGAAGGGAGGCACGGCCGTGCCTGAGCCACCCTGAGGGCAGTGCCAGGGCGGGCAGGGACGGGGGGTGCTGCTCTCCGTGTGCCCTGTCAGCTCTCCGTGTGCCCTGTCAGCTCTCCGTGTGCCCTGTCACCTCTCCGTGTGCCATGTCAGCTCTCCGTGTGCCCTGTCAGCTCTCCGTGTGCCATGTCAGCTCTCCGTGTGCCATGTCAGCTCTCCAGAGCCGGCCCGGAGGGAGCAGCCTGCTGGGATGGGGCAGAGGGAGCAGAGCTTTCCTCCTGCCCGAGATCACAGCCCCACCCCATCCTCCAGCGCCTCCCCGCCTGCCCCATCCCAAATCTCCTCCCAGCCCCGCAGGGAAGCGCCTGGAGGTGCCGGGGGTGACAGACGGGACGTGGGGTGGCAGTGGGTGCTGGCAGCCTGTCGGACAATACCCTCTTCTGACCCAGGGATGGGGCTACTGAGAGGCGTTTCTGATCTCAAATTTTACATACAAACACCTGTAAACCTTCTATCAAACCCTAAAAACCCCCTACAAATCCGTTTTCCACAGAACCCACAAACCAAACCTCCCCTGGGTGCATCACCAGGGGTGCTCAGCAGGGCAGGGAGATGTTCCCCCCTGAGCCCCCCAGAGCTCACAAACCCACCCCAGGATGGAGCCCGGGACAGGGCAGACCTGGGCGGGCCAGAGCAGATCCCGAGGGCACCCTGGAGATGGCTGGGGGCTGGAAGAACCTTTCCTGCTCTTCCTGGGGTGGTGAGAGAGGTTCTGCAGCTCCCTCCTCCTCTCCCTTGCCCAGGCTGGGAGAGCTGGGGCTGTCCAGCCTGGACAATCCCCTGTGGCAGCCTGGGGGCCTGGAAAAGTGACACAGGGAAGCTGTTCCTCAAGGCAGGAGAAACGGTGCCGGTTTAAACCGAGAGAGGGTGGATTTAGGCTGGGTATAAAGAGAAAATGTGCTGGGGGGGATCGGTGGGTGCCCAGAGGATTCCCCATCCCTGGGCAGCGAGGCTCGGGCACCTCGGGTATCCCGAGTATCAGTGTGCTATCCTGGGTATCACTGTGCCCTCCTGGCATCCCGGGTGTCTGTGTGCCCCCCTGGCATCCCGGGTGTCCGTGTGCTCCCCTGGCATCCCGGGATGAACCTGGCAGTCCCGGAGCGGGCTCGGAGCCCCTGTGCTGGTGCTGGAAGCCAGATGGAGCCATCACTGCGCCGAGCCCGTGCGGCTCTGCCAGAGCTGGGGAGGGGCGGCTGCTCCCCCGCTCCGCCGGGGTGCCCTGGGGGGCACGGGGCCGTGTGTGACCCTGGCACGGCTGGCACGGCTGGCAGGGCTCGGTGCAGGGACTGCCCCCCCTGCAGCTCCGCGGGTTTAGGAGCGGTTCCATCTCCCAAAGCCGCGCTCCGGGGCTGGGTTTAAGGGGTACCCGGGTGAAACCCCTCAGGCAGAGCCGGGATTTGGCTCTGTGGGCTTGTGTGCTTTCGTCCGGAGCGGTGGTGGAGATTCAGTGGCACCCCAAAATTTAATTTCTCAGCCCGAATCCGCTTTCTGTGGTGTTGCCCGACACAAAATTTGCGTTGTAGTCCCAGCCCCAGGGAGAAGCGGTCACTGTCGCTCCTGGTGCCGGTAGGGCACCTGGCAGCCGGGTTATTTATTGCACAAATAACGCCGTGTTTGCATATGTTAATTGCGTTAATTGGAGCTGCGGCTCAGGGAGCGGCCGTGTGATGGGTGCGGCTGAGCCCCCCCAAATCAGGGTCTGGGGGTCCGGGGCAGCGTCCGGGGGCTGTGGGATGGGGGTGCCCATCCCTGGGGTGCCCGGGTGGGGCTGAGACCCCCGGGGTGCCTCGGGGAGCCCTCGGGGAGCGGAGCTCCTGCTCGGCTCCGCCGTGGGCAGGGTGTGAACGCTGGGTGTGAAGAGACTGTGAATTCTCATCAACACTTCCATTACCTTAATAAAATTACTTCAGGTCTGTTAAGCTCTTTTGCAGAAAAACAAGCGCAATTGCACGGTTTGCTGGCTTCTCCTTCCCCCGACCCCCCGAAGGGCTCAGCCCCCGGCTCCGTGCACCTTCCCCGGGGGTCTGGGCTCTCCTCAGCACCTGGACAGGTGAGGAGCTCTGCTTGTCACGGAGCCCGTCAGGATGGCCCCTCTCCCTCTCATCTGCTGGCTCTGACAGATCCTGAGGAGTTATTCAGAGCTTTGGGCTTTTTTGAACATTATATTGTCAAAGCTTTTTTTCTGTGGGAGACAGATTCTTACCTAAACTCACCCACTCTCCAGAAATAGCAGCAATAATAAGCCTGAAACGAGGAGATAAAGAGCTGGAATTCGTTTTAGAGTCATGGAAGAGTTTGAGTTGGAAGGGCCCTCTGAAGGTCTCCCAGTCCATCTGATTTCACCCCTGTTCAAGGTTTTCCAGGTTATCCCCTCTGCCCTGCACTCCCTGTTACCCTCACTCTGACCCTGGAGATTCTCCAAACGCTTTTGGCTGTGGGATTTGTCCCATTCCAGCCTGGCAGCTCCCACTTTGGAGCCAGCAGCAGCACCCAGACCAGGCTAATCCAGGCTTGTTTCAGTGCATGCTTTGCTTTAAAACATTCTTTTTCCACACAGCAGCTCTGGTGTGAAGGGATGAATTGGGAAAGGTCTTTGCTGCACCACAACTTAGAGATGCTGGGACCTCTGGAGCAGCTCTTTGGCAGGGGAGGTTCAAGGTCTGCAGGGATGCAGAGGAATTTTCCCGGAAGAAAATCAGATACTGTGGGATGGGCTTGGAGCAGGTGGTTGGTTTAGTGGGTTAATTATTGGGTTAGTCAGCCCTTGAAATCATGGAATGGTTGGGGTGGGAAGGGACCTTAAAGCCCATCCAGTGCCACCCCTGCCATGGCAGGGACACCTCCCACTGTCCCAGGCTGCTCCCAGCCCTGCCCAGCCTGGCCTTGGGCACTGCCAGGGATCCAGGGGCAGCCGCAGCTGCTCTGGGCACCCTGTGCCAGGGCCTGCCCACCCTCCCAGGGAACAATTCCTTCCCAACATCCCATCCATTCTTGCTCTTCATTAATTCTAAACTTCTCCTCTATTACTTTAAAATCCCCCCCTGTCCTATCACTGTCAGCTCATGTAAAAAGTCCCTCTCCCTCTTTCCTGTCAGCCCCTAGAGCACTGGAATATCCCTGCACTGGAGCTGGAGGCCATCCCTGCAGCCAGGGTTGGGAAGGGTCCATGCAGGGGCTGGTACCCCCTCCCTGCCTGCCCGGGGCTGTTCCTGAGCTGCTCGCTCCAGTCTCTGCTGTGGGCTGAGCTGGGAGCACAGACTCCTCCTGGGAAGTGCCAGTGCTCTCCCTCCAGCAGCTCCCAGGGCTGGCAGCTTTGGAGCCACCTTAAAATCCAGGTGGAAGCCTCTGGCAACCAGAGTTGGTAGCAACAGCGCTGGATCTCCTTAGAGATCCCTCCTGGGCTTCTCAGTCGCTGCCTGCCCAGCCCGAGCAGAGCCCCTGAGCACATGGACCTGGGGATCATTGCAGAGAATGAGAGTGTGAGTATTCTGACAGAGCGCCTCGCTGCCCGAAAATCCAGCTGTGAATTTCTGCAGCTCCTCCCCAGCTCCTGGAAGCAGCACTGTGCCAAGGAAATCCTAACCACGGGGAGAAATGGCTGCTGCAAAGGCTGGCTGGGATCTGTCCAGGCTCTGCAGAGCTCCTCCAGCAGCAGGGTGGGCTGGGGCAGGGGGAGAGGAGGGCCCTGCAGCTGCTCTGTGCCTCCAGGGGCAGCTGGAGGACAGGAGCCAGGAGATGCACCAGCCTGGAGACCCGCGGGAGGAGATGGGGAAACTGCCTGGCTCCAGGACAGACTTCCCAGCCAGGATGGTCCTCAGTGAGGAGGAAAAACTGAAGGTAAAACTTTGGGAGTTGGAGAGAGCTGAGCTGTGATGGCCAGTAGATCCCCAGTGGGAAATCTGGGGGGAATTCCTCCTTCTGGGGGGGGGCTCAAACATCACAATGGCCTCAGAATCCAACCATGGCTTCACCGAGTTTGTCTCTCCCAGATTTCCAAAGACCTCGTGGATCTGCAGATCGAGACAAACAAAATGAAGGAGCGTTATGAGACCGAGAACTTCCAGCTGAAAACGATGGTACCCAGTTTGGGAACTGCCCGTTTCAGCCCCACCAGTGCTTCCCCCAGCTCTGCAGCCCCTAGCACACCCACCCTTCCCCTGCCCTCTCCTCCGGGCTTCCGAGGGAGCCGGATTCCCGCGGCAGCCAGCCCCGGGAGCTCGGGATGCTCCCTGGCGGTGCCCTCTGAGCTCTGCCCGTGCAGATGCGGGCTCTGCAGCGGCGGCTGCAGCAGCTGGAGCAGGGGCAGGGCAGCGCCGGGCTCAGCGAGGAGCGGGATTCCCTGCGGGAGCGCCTGCGCCGCCTGGAGAGCAGCCGGCAGGAGCTGGGCGAGGAGTTCATCATCCTCAAGAGCAATTACCTGGCCCTCGGCAGGGAGCTGGACAAGGAGGTGAGAGAGGCTGCAGGGCTCATCCCAGAGCTCGTGCCAGGGGTTATTCCACAGATCCAGCTCAGATCCCGCTGTGCAGGGGCCTTGCTTGGCTTTCATTTGTGCATCCCTACCACAGCTCAGCTCCGGGGAGGCTTCTCATGCAGTTGTACAAATGTTTGTGTTGAGGGACCTCTTAAAGGTCACCAAGTCCACAGAAAACATCCAGTGCCACTCCTGCCATGGGCAAGGACACCTCCCACCATCCCAGGCTGCTCCAAGCCTGCCCAGCCTGGCCTTGGGCACTGCCAGGGATCCAGGGGCAGCCACAGCTGCTCTGGGCACCCTGTGGCCCCAGGGCCGGGGCAGCTCTGCAGGTGGGGTCTCACCTGAGGGGGCAGAGGGGCAGAATCCCCCCCCCCTCCTGCTGCCCACACTGGGGCTCAGCCCAGCCCAGGGGGCTCAGGGGCCCAGGACACATGGCCAGGACATGTCCAGCCTCTGAGCTGGGACAGGCACAGCCTGGCCGTGGGATTGTCCCCGGGGATTTGATGTAAGACAGCTCCTTCCCACAGGGCCTGCAGACCTGCCCGGGCGGTGGGGACAGGCTGGGGACAGGCTGGGGACAGGCTGGGGACAGGCTGGGGACAGAGTTGGGGACAGGCTCCTTCTGGAGCTGGGGACAGGGCTGGGGACAGTGCTAAGGACAGGGCTGGGGACAGGCTGGGGACAGGGCTGGGGACAGAACTGAGGACAGAACTGAGGACAGGGCTGAGGACAGGGCTGGGGACAGAATTGAGGACAGGCTGGGGACAGAGCTGGGGACAGTGCTAAGGACAGGGCTGGGGACAGGCTGGGGACAGAACTGAGGCCAGGGCTGGGGCCAGGGCAGTGCTGAGCCGCTGGCCCCGGCCCCGCGGGCAGAGCCCTGCCGCTCCCCGCTCCCGCGGCGCTGCCCGGGGGTCACGGCGGGGCTGCCCGGGGCCGCTCCCCGGCGCTGCCAGCGCGCTTTGTTTCCCTTTTTTCTGCTTGGCTTGCGCAGCCCGCACGTGAACGGATTGGAGCCGCTCTCATTTCGGGCGGCGGGAAGGGGCCTGGCAGCTTTCAGGTCGACAAGTTCATAAAAACACCGAATTCAAGCGAGTTTCTGATGGTTCCTTAAGAGACAGACCCCTTCCCGCTGACTGCTAGCTCAGCAGTGATTGACCAGAGCCTTTTGGACCCAGATTTGTGTATTTCTTTGGCTGCTCCAATAGCCCTGCCTGTGTCCCCTCCTCTCCCCCCTGCCGCTTCTCCTCCTTTTTGAAGGGGATGCAGTGAGTGACGCGCTCCTGCTCCCTCCCTCCCCCAGCAGATATTTGGCTGCCTCGGCTCGCTGACCTGGTTTTCCATGGCGAGCCGTGCTGGGAAGATGTGAGCAGGAATGCTGCTCCGGTGCAGTGTGCCCGGATGGGCTCTGGCAGAGCAGGACAATGGTCACCCGCGAGTTAGGGACCTCGGGGAGCGATCGTTTGTCTCCCAGAAGCTGAGAAATGGGGATTTCTCACAAGGAGGGATCGCGATCCCGCTGTGGCACGAGGCAGAGCCGCTCTGCTCCCGGCCGTGCCGGGCTCAGGGAGGAACAGCTCAGCCATCAGCACTCTCAGCTGCTTCTTGTCCCCAAGGGGGTGCAGTGTGTTTGTCAAAAGCTGGATTTGCAGGCAGCTGACATCTCTAAGTGATGCGTTTAGCAGGGTAGAGGTAATATCACACAGTTTTCACATGGATCCTGGGATGGTTCAGAGGGTGAAAGCATGCGGGTTCAGTTCTGTGCCAGATAGCATCCTGAGGAACCTCAGAGTCGAGGAATGCTTTGGGGTGGAAGGGACTTTAAAACCCATTCCACCCCCTGCCACGGGACCCCTTCCCCCAGGCCAGGTTGCTCCAAGAAGTGCTGAAGCGGGGCCAGAAGCCAGAGGTGAATTCCTTGGATGCCCTCCATATGCCGAGGAGTTTACCCCAGTTCCTTGGCTCCGACTCCCAAAAATCCCTGCCTGAAGCCAGCGAGGCTCCGACTTGGCAGCCCGGGGCTTGTCGCGACATGGGCCTCTTGCTCATTATGTTCCCAGTGCGGACTTTCCCAAAGGAAATGGGAAAAGCAGCCTGCGGTTCTGCCCCCTCCCCTTCCCGGCGCTCTTCTGGGGGAGACAATGAACCTTTTACACATTCCCAATTACAAGTGCCACTTGTGACCTTGCCAATATGTTGTCATGGCTGCTTGGCGCTGCAGGAGCAGCTCGGCGAGCTCATTCACGGCCCCTGGGCCGGGAGCAGCGGAGCCTCCTTTGTCCGCGGGCTCCGCGCCTGCCCGGCCTTGGGAAGCGCCTCGCAGGAGATGCCAGGCGGGCACTCGGTGCCTGTTTTCTGACTCGCTGTAAATTCTTCCTTTTCAAGGCTCTGACCTTTCCTCGCTCTGCGTTTCCTTCTCCTTTTGTCCCCCCGGCTCGCGGCGGCAGCCCCCGAGGGGACCCAGGCTGCTCTGGGTTCCACACCGGGGTTTTCCCTGGAGCCACGCCAGCCTCGGGGGCTCAGGAAAGGCAGCGAAGCCCAACTCAAACCGGGGACTGCCCCTTTTTTTTTTGCTAAACCGGTCCTTGTGACCCCCGCGATCAAACTGTCAGGGCTGACAGCTGCGGATGGATGGCGCGGGCCGGGGAACAAGCGGAGCTGTCTCTGCGGAGCTGTCAGGTTCCACAGCTGTGGATCTCACCTCTTTGTCAGCCTCCTTTCTCCTCGCTCTCCCCCAGCCCACCCCGTGCTATCTTTTGATAAGCTATTCTCTCCACGGATGACTCAGATGACCTCTGCCTCCCATCCTCCCGATTCACTGCCATGGTAACAATTACTCAAGCTTGTCCCCAGCCATAAACCCCATCAGAGCTTTGTTATCTACACAGAAACCCTCCTGGGAGACATGAATTCCCCCAGCGTTCCCTCCAGATCACCTGGAACGGAGCTTTGCTCCTTCAGATCCTCTTTATCTTTTGGAAATGTGTCACTTCACAGCAGCAGCGCTCTGAACGCTGCCTACAGCGGGCTGTGGGCTGCTGCTGCTGGGAGGCTCCAAACCCAGCTGGGAATGGGACATCTGGAGAGAGGGAGGGAGGGATGGAGGGATGATGGATGGATGGATGGATGGAGGGATGGATGGATGGAGGAGGGATGGATGGATGGATGGAGGGATGGATGGATGGAGGAGGGATGGATGGATGGATGGAGGGATGGATGGATGGAGGAGGGATGGATGGATGGATGGAGGGATGGATGGATGGAGGAGGGATGGATGGATGGATGGAGGGATGGATGGATGGAGGAGGGATGGATGGATGGATGGAGGGATGGATGGATGGAGGAGGGATGGATGGATGGATGGAGGGATGGATGGATGGAGGAGGGATGGATGGATGGATGGAGGGATGGATGGATGGAGGAGGGATGGATGGATGGATGGAGGGATGGATGGATGGAGGAGGGATGGATGGATGGATGGAGGGATGGATGGATGGAGGAGGGATGGATGGATGGATGGAGGGATGGATGGATGGAGGAGGGATGGATGGATGGATGGAGGGATGGATGGATGGAGGAGGGATGGATGGATGGATGGAGGGATGGATGGATGGAGGAGGGATGGATGGATGGATGGAGGGATGGATGGATGGAGGAGGGATGGATGGATGGATGGAGGGATGGATGGATGGAGGAGGGATGGATGGATGGATGGAGGGATGGATGGATGGAGGAGGGATGGATGGATGGATGGAGGGATGGATGGATGGAGGAGGGATGGATGGATGGATGGAGGGATGGATGGATGGAGGAGGGATGGATGGATGGATGGAGGGATGGATGGATGGAGGAGGGATGGATGGATGGATGGAGGGATGGATGGATGGAGGAGGGATGGATGGATGGATGGAGGGATGGATGGATGGAGGAGGGATGGATGGATGGATGGAGGGATGGATGGATGGAGGAGGGATGGATGGATGGATGGATCCATGGATGGATGGAGGGGTGGAGAAGACTTGGCCCTTCTTGCCCTGTGGAGCCCAGCACTGCTCAAACTGCTCCATGGGGAAGGACATTCCTGAAGTGTTGGGAAGCTGAACAGAGGGTGCAGGGTGGGGGCAAGGAGGGAGCTGGAGCTGCAGAGGTGGTGGCAGAGCTGTGTTAGGGCTGGCACTGAGGTCTGGATTTGAGTGTGGGATGTGCAGAGGGATAGCATTCCCTGGGAACAACCTTGCTGCCTGGCAGTGCATTCCATGAGAAGCAGAAAATCGCCAGGATCTTTGGATATAGGAGACAGAACTAAAATTAAAACTTGATTTGAGGAGGGGGTGCCTGCCTGGAGCACACACCAGGAGCAGCAGGGATGTGCTGACCAGAGGGGGATTTCAGAAGTTCTCTCCTTCTTGTTTGACCTTGCAGGTGATGAGGAATGAGGAGCTGACCCAGGAGCTGCTCAGCCTGGCCAAAAAGAGCAGCCTCCCCCCTGGCTTGGCCCATCAATCCTCCCCAGGGCTGGGAAGAGGGAGAGCAGCAGGACAGCCCCGCTCTGCTCAGAGGGGGAAGGTGAGGGACTGTCTGCCCTTCCAGCAGCCCCTCGGAGAGCAGGGATCCACCAGGCCCCTTCTTCTCTCTCCCCAAACCAGCCCGAGGATGCAGCTGCCCCTGAACACGAGCAGCAGGAGCTGGAAAGAAACGTGAGTGTGAGGGGCTCTGCTGCAGGATCCTTGGGAAGCAGAGGGGATTGATTCCAACTGCGGCTGGCACCTCCTGCTGCTGACTTGAGTTTTGTGGATCAGCTGATGCCTTGAATCATTTTAAATCCTTTTTTTAAACCCCGCAGTTGCAAAACGAGACAGGAATAACTCCAGATGTGCAGGCAGAGCTGAGGAGGGCAGAGGTGATTCCCTGGGTCCATGCCCTGGCAGGGGGAACACAGACAGGAGCTTAGAAGCCAAGAAGTGCAAAGGAGAATTTTTTCCCTTCTTTCTCGCACTTGAGAAATCTGGGGGTGATGAAGCACCCAAAACTGAGAGCACAGAGATGGTCCCTGCCTCCTCCCCATCTGCAGCCCTTGCAGAACCAGCCTGGGCTCCGCCACCAGCTCCTGCTGGGAATCTCAACGTGAGCGTTTCCCTCGGGAGAGTGACACATGTGTCCCTCCACGTGCCCTGGCTGTGCATCACACACCATTCCTGCCCTGCTGCAGGGCACCAGCCCCTCCCAGTCACAGCAGTCCTTCCCCCAGCATGGCACTGCTCAGCTGGACAAGGGCTCAGCTCGAGGTTCTCCTCACTTTGTCCTCTCTTCACTCAGCCTTCTGCCTCCTCTTCCTCTTCGTTTGTCCCTCAGTTGCTTGGAAACCAGGATCACATAAAAGTGGAGCTGGAAAAACTGAAGAAAACGTATGCTGAGCAGCAGCAGAAGCTGGAGGAGCGAGTGTGAGTGTCCCTCTGCTTGGCCAGGTGTTTGTGGGACTGGATTTGACCCATGGGAGCAGGAGAGGAGGCAGCCTGCCTTTGGGGGGGACAGGAAGGAATGAGGCCTGGAAGGAAAACCTGATGTTTTCAAGGCTCTTCAGAGCTGTCAGATGGAAGTTGGTGGTGTTCAGGGACACCTTGAAAATCCACTGTCGGTGACACACAGCAAACGTGTGACATCCCAGAGATTAGTCCAGCCCAGCCCTTAGCCACAGAGTGGATTTTCCATCACCTTGGAATGGGGTTAATGTCCCAGGAAAGGCTGCCCCAGCAGGAATACTACAGACTCAACCCTCTGAGCTGTGGAGGATGTTCATCTTTGGTGGGGAGAGATTTTGTGGCACAGGTTTACACACACGTTTGGAGGCTGGCAGCTGCTGCTGGGATATTTCTGTCATTCCAAAGCGATTTTCTTCCCAAAGCTGCCTGTGTTGGACCTATGGAGAATCACAGAACCCCAGCATGGGTTGGGTTGGGAGGGACCCTAAAGCCCATCTCATTCCACCCCTTGCCATGGACAGGGACACCTTCCACTGCCCCAGGCTGTTCCAAGCCCGGCCAGCCTGGCCTCGGACCCTCCCAGGGGTGGAGAAGGAGTTGGGGCAGTTCAAACAAACCCCTTTTCCCGCTGTGTGTCCAGGCTGGCGCTGGGGAAGGAGCTGCAGGAGGAGAAGGGAGCGACGGGGCCCGGCGGGCAGGGGCAGGCAGAGCGAGCAGCGGTGAGCCCGGGCTGCCACCAGCCCTCCCCCGGGCTGCCGGGGCTGGGAGCCTTCCATCCAGGTGCTCCAGCACCGCTCCCTCTGCAGGGAGCTTGTCACACCGAGGTTGTCCCCGTGCAGCTTCTCCTGCACGTGCTGGAAGTGCTGCTTGCAAAGCTGGTGGGAGGAATTTTGCTCACTGGTTTGCAGAAAGAGTTGGTGGAATCACCGGGGTGGGGGGTGGCAAATGACAGAAAGCAGCAGGGGAATAGGGATTATAAACATTTCCAGTGGGTTCGTGTGAAAATCCAGGACCTTCCCAGCTCTAGTGAAGCCAGATGTCTGGAAATGAAGCCCCTCAGCTCTTAGAAGTGTCTCGGCTCCTGCTCCCCGGCCGGAGGAGCAGGCCAGCAGGATTTCTGTTTGCTGTGCCAGGTGCTGCTCACGTCCCAGGGCCAGCTCCAGGAGGTGGAGGCGGAGAACTCCCGGCTGCAGCTGCAGCTGAAGGAGCTGAACGAGGAATATCGCTGCCGGCTGGCGCAGCACGCCCGGGACCTGGCAGTGGGTACCCAGCCCTCCTGGCCCGGAGGTGCCACAGAACCATGGAATAGCCACAGTGGGAAGGGACCCACAGAGAGCATGGATCCAGCCCCTGGCCCTGCACAGACCCCCAGCAATCCCACCCTGGGCATCCCTGAGATCATTGTCCAAGCTCTCCTGGAGCTCTGGCAGCCTCGGGGCTGTGCCCATTCCCTGGGGAGCCTGGGCAGTGCCAGCACCCTCTGGGAGATGAACCTTTCCTGATATCCAACCTGACCCTCCCCTGGCACAGCTCCAGCCGTTCCCTCAGGCGTCTCCATACTGGCATCCTCCTCTTGTAGGCTGCTGCCAATAAATTAGAGTAATTACATAAAGAAAGGGGGTTTTTTAATCCCTGTTATCTGACCAAGAAAAGTCCCAGCAGAAGCTCACCCATAATTTTGCGTGGCCATACAGGAAATCTGGGTGGGGGAGCTGCCATAGAACCATGAAATGGGTTGGAAAGGACTTCAAAGATCATCCAGTGCCACCCCCTGCCATGGGCAGGGACACCTTCCACTAAAACATGTGATTCCAGGCCTTGTCCAGGCTCACCTTGGGCACTGCCAGGGATCCAGGGGCAGCCACAGCTGCTCTGGGCACCCTGTGCCAGGGCCTGCCCACCCTCCCAGGGAGCAATCCCTTCCCCATATCCCCTCTAACCCAGTGGGAAGCCATTCCCCCTGGATTTCCCTCTCTGTGCATTTACAGAACTACATGGACAGCAAACCCAGCAGCGTGACAGGACACAGCAAAGCCCCAGCTGGCCACGCTGCCATGAAGAACTTTGTGGACAGGATGCTCAGGGACATCCGGGCTTCCTACAAGTGCCGGGAAGAGCAGCTGGCTCGGGCAGCCCGGGGCTACAGGAAACGCATGAAGGACTTGGCCAAGAAGCACGAGAACCTGCTGATTGCCTACGGGTAAACCTCAGGCACCTCCTCCTTAGGGCCAGGTGGAAAAGCCCCAGAGCAGCCGTGCCCTGCCCCGGGAGGAGGCGAGCACGGCTCCCGGGTGGAGCTGAGGGTCTGGAGTGCACCTTGGTCTCCCTGCTCCTGGCAATCCAGCATCAAGCTGCCTCCAGCTGCACGTCAGGGTGCTCTGGACCCCATGGAGCTGCTTGGCACATATGTTCCTCCCACTTGAAGCGCAGGGTGAGAGATTGATCCCGCGGTGGATGGTGTGGAAATGCAGGGGTACCACAAATAGCTCCACCTCCCAGCCCGTCCCTGCAGCGCTCTCAGCTCTCTCGGCAGCTTGGGCTGTGGGAAGCAGCAGAAATACTTGTGGTAAAGAGCCACAAATAGCTCTAGGACAAGCTCCCCTCAGAAACTTCCCCACTTTTCCTTTGCAGGCGGCCAGAAGCAGCAGGTCCCAGGGAGTGGCACCCTGAGGAGCAGCAGGGCTGCTCGGTGGTGTCCCCAGGCAGGGACTGACCCCGTGCTGCTTGCAGGCTGCAGCGGGAGCAGATGCGGTCCCTGGGCTGCAGTGCCATGGACTGTGGCCCTGCCGAGCTCCACTTGTCCATCCCAGAGCCTGAGCTGCTGCCAGGCAGCTCCCGGGAGCTGGCCCGGCTGCGGGAGCAGAAGGCAAAGCTGGAGATGCAGCTGCAGGTAGGGAGGGGAGGGAGCTGGCCTTGCTGGGAAGAGTTCCATGAGCCCCTTCCTTGAGGCATTTGTAGGATTGGTTGGGTTGGAAAAGCCCTCTCCGATCATCCAGTCCAGCCATTCCCCAGCACTGCCAAGGCCACCACTGAGCCGTGTCCCCAAGGGCCACATCCATGCTCTCCCCGAGGGTTTGCCGTGCCTGGGGCACAGGCAGGGGACACAACAGTCATCCCCATGTGACAGAATGATGGAATTATGGAATGGTTTGGGTTGGAAGGGGCCTAAAGCTCATCTTGTTCCACCCCTGCCATGGCAGGGACACCTTCCACTGTCCCAGGTGGGTCCAAGCCCCATCCAGCCTGGCCTTGGGCACTGCCAGGGATGGGGAAATGTCCTCCCACTGGGCAAATGTGGGTCTTGATTTGCACAGGATGCATTTATTTAAAAATTCAGAGGATGGGAGACCTGAAACCTTCAGATTGTACAGCCCATGGTTTCCTTGCCGTGGCACTGCTGGCTGTGGGAGTGCTGGGACAGCTTGTGCCACTTCCAAGGGGCCTTACAGAAAAGAGGGAAAATGTCTTTTTACGTGTGCAGACAGTGAAAGGACAAAAGGAATGGATTTAAACTAAAAGAGGAGACATCTAGGTTGGATGTAAGGAAGGAATTGTTGCCTGGGAGGGTGGGCAGGCCCTGGCACAGGGTGCCCAGAGCAGCTGTGGCTGCCCCTGGATCCCTGGCAGTGCCCAAGGCCAGGCTGGACAGGGCTTGGAGCAGCCTGGGACAGAGGAAGGTGTCCCTGCCATGGCAGGGGGTGGGATGGGATCATCCTTAAAGCCCCTTCCAGCCTCACCCATTCCATGGCAGGATTTCTCTGAGAGTGGCAGGATCTGGGATTGCCATGGGTTCGTGTTTACAGGAATTCTGTTCTCCCTTTGCCTCCAGAAAAGCCTGAAAGGAGCCTCTGCCTTCCCAGCGCCTCCGGAGCAGTAAGTGCTGTTTCTTTCTTGGGATATGTGCCATTCCACATTCCCATGGCTGTGTGGATTGAGGGCTCTTTTTTTGCCTGGCTGGAGGCAGCAATAGGCAGGGAAAGGGAGCTGCTGGGCCTGCTCTGGGAAGAAGAGGCAGCTGTCCCCTCTTCCTGCAGGAAGATTTGGTCACTGGGCCTTGATCCAAGAAAGCTCTTAAGCACATATTTGATTTAATCGTGTTTTTAGCCCCACTGACCTCTTTAAAAGCTGAAGTTAAGCACACGCCCAAGTGCTTTGGTGGATCACAACGTGAGAGAGGCCTGTGAGACACCACCAGTTTGGGATGGTCCCGTTTTTCCTCCTTCCCAGCGCAGGAGTTTGTCTGGAATCCTTTGGTGGCACTGTGCTGACACCTCCCAGGCTTCCCAGCTGTCCTGGGTGACTCCCTGAACCAGGACACCAACAAACCCTGAAACTGCTAAAGTTTGATGGGTCTCTTCCCCCTGCTCCATTACCCTGCAAAACTCAACCAGCTATAGCTGTGGAGGGGTGGAACAAAGCACAGGAGAAACCTGAGCTGGGCTTTTTCAGCTCTCTAAAAGACGTGGTCACCTAGAAAACATGTCAGCTATTCCATTAGCTGGATGCCAGCACTGAGGAGTGGGTGAGTGCCAGAGCCCCTGGCTCTGGAGGGGTGTCTCAGGCACAAGCCTGAGCCTCAACCAGGCTCTGCCAGGTGCTCCACACTGAAAATAGCAGTGCTCCGTGAGTAAATGCAGCAGTTTGGGCAGACAGCACAGGAGCAGGGCAGGCAAAGTCCAGAACCTGAATTGCAGTGATGCATCTCATCATTTGGGGTTTTTTAACTGCCAGTTCTGCTGGGTTAACCCGTGTGCTGTTACCTGGCTCCCCAGCTGCAGACAGGAGCAACTCCAGCTCCCGCTGCCTTTGCCAGGGCTGGCTGGGCTGGGCTGGCAGGCACCAGAGCCCAGCTCTGGCACTCCCTGGGGGTTACCAGCTGCACCAGTGCCCTGCTGGTCCTTCCCTTCTCCTCGGGCTCCCACAGAAGCCCAGCTTGGTGCTGGAGGGAACTGGGGGGAGCACAGTGCACTCCTGCCTCCACGCAGCCCAGTTCCCCCAGCACCTGCCGTGACTGGGATTCTCCTCCCGAGGCTGGCACGGGGTGGGAAGGGCTTGCAGACAGCTCAGCTGTCCTGCTGCTCGGTGTCCTGGCTCCCAGCAGGGCCAGCAGCAGCCTTGGCACTGAGGGCTCCATCACAGCCACCCTGAGGGGCAGCTCCAGGGATCTTTGCCTTGCTGTGCCTTGGACTGCCCCGGGCTGTGGCTGGGGATCAGCTAAGGACTCAATCAAGAATGTTCTTCCACTGTTAAACTACATAAAGAGGAAGGGGAAATGTCATTCTGCTATTACTTTTTACTAAGAAGTTTTATCTTGGGTAAGGCTTTCTTATGTGTAGAAGGAAAACATTCCAGACTTCTGGAAAGAGAAAGTTGGAAAGTGTGGTGGATGACATGACAGCAGAGCTCTGAGTGATGCTCAGGAGGGCCAGCAAACCTTGCTTTGACCTGTGTAACCACATGTTCCACAGGCACAGGGCCAGGCTGTGGGCAGGGCTGTGGCTGCCCGCTGGTGCTGCCTGCCCTGAGGAGCTTTGGGCACGGGGAGAGGGAAGGTTCTGGTTCTGGGGGTCGTGGTGGGATGGGCACTGGCTGTGTGGAGCTGTGTGATCCGTGCAGGGCTGGGTTTGGTGTCTGGGCACCACCCACATGAGCTCCTCTGTCGCAGGCAGCTGGATGAGGAGGGCTGGGCAGAGCTCAGGAGGAGGCTCCGGGAATTCACACTCAACACCCAGGTAAAGCTCTGGCACAGCCCGCTGGAGGCCAGGCTGATCTCTCACCCACAGCAGGGATGTGCTGCCTCAGCCCCTGCCCTGGGGCTGCTCCAGCCTGGAGGGGGGAATTCCATGGAGTCACAGAACGTCCTGACTGGGAGAGACCCCCAGGGATCATCCAGCCCAGCTCCTGGCCCTGCACAGACCCCCAACAATCCCACCCTGGGCATCCCTGAGATCATTGTCCAAACCCTCCTGGAGCCCTGGCAGCCTCGGGGCTGTGCCCATTCCCTGGGGATCACTCTCCATGGAGCCTTGCTGTGGCTCACCCCTCCAAGCAATGCTGGCAGGTCCCAGCTGCTGGGGGCTCCAGGCTTTACTGTCCCTGCTCCTAAAGCAAGGAGAGCAGCCCCTGGTCACTCCTGCCCACGTTTCAGAAAAAAACATTTTGGCATCTCTGGAATAAACTGGGGCTGATTGCTGCCCTGTGCTGGGACATCTCCAGTCCTGGGGGCAGTTTTGGGCCACTAAAGAAAGGAAGGACTTGGAGGGGCTGGAGGGGGTCCAGGGAAGGGAACAGAGCTGGGAAGGGGCTGGAGCACCAGGAGAGGCTCAGGGAGCTGGAAAGGGGCTCAGCCTGGAGAAAAGGAGGCTCAGGGGGGACCTTGTGGCTCTGCACAGCTCCTGACAGGAGGGGACAGCCGGGGGGGTCGGGCTCTGCTCCCAGGAACAGGGACAGGAGGAGAGGGAACAGCCCCAAGCTGTGCCAGGGGAGGTTTAGGTTGGATATTGGGAGAATTCCTTCATGGAAAGGGTGGTCAGGCACTGGCACAGCCGCCCAGGGCAGTGGTGGAGTCACCACCCCTGAAGGGATTTATAGGACACATGGATGTGGCACTTGGGGACATGGGTCAGTGGTGGCCTTGCCAGTGCCAGGTTAACACCTGGATTCTAGTGGGCTTTTCCAACCAATTCACACAATTCCAAGGTTTTTTGATTCTATTCAACCTGGTTCTAGTTTAGGCTGAATCTGAATCAGCTTCCCAGCCTGGTTCCTGCTGCTGCAGGGATATCCACTTCCATGTCCTGCCCTTCCCTGTCCACAGCAACCTGAGGGAGTGCTCCACCATTCCCTGGGATGTAAAGCTCACTGCCTGGGATGTAAAGCTCACTCCCTGGGATGTAAAGCTCACTCCCTGGGGATGTAAAACTCAATCCCTGGGATGTAAAGCTCACTCCCTGGGAACGTAAAGCTCACTCCCTGGGATGTAAAGCTCACTCCCTGGGGATGTAAAGCTCATTCCCTGGGATGTAAAGCTCCACACCTGCATGGGGCCTATCTCTGTGGCCAAAAGAAAAGAGATGTCATGGTGGAGAGGCTGGACTGGTGGGGAAGTGTTCAGAAGGTCAGACTCATCATCCCTGAGCAACATCATCCCATGGCACATATCTCTTTTTTTCCACATTTTCTCTGTGTTCTGTGCCCCTGCAGGAGCACCTGGAGCAGCAGAGAAGCCAGCTGCTGGCTCGGGCTGTGGGGGCAGAGGAGCAGGTGTTGGAGCTGCAGGGGTACATCGACCAGCACCTTGCCAGGTGAGAGGGGATCCTCTCCAGGCTTGGTGCCAGCGCTGTCCCCGTGCCCACTGCCAGCCCTGCCACAGCCTGCCAGCACAGCCCATGTCCCACTGCTCCTCCAGCTGTGCAGGCAGCTGTCACCACCTCTTGTGCCACGGGGCAGCAGGACAGACACACCTCACACACCACAGGCGTCCTTCCCTGCGTGCTCACCCATCCTTGGGAGGAATCACAGTCACGGATTGGGTTGGAAGTGACACAAACAGCCCCCCTGCCATGGGCAGGGACATCTCCCCCTATCCCAGGCTGCTCCAAGCCCTGCCCAGCCTGGCCTTGGGCACTGCCAGGGATCCAGGGGCAGCCACCGCTGCTCTGGGCACCCTGTGCCAGGGCCTGCCCACCCTCACAGGGAACAATTCCTTCCCAGTATCCCATCCAGCCCTGCCCTCTGCCAGTCTAAAGCCATTCCCCATGCCCTGCCACTTTATGCCATTGTCCAAAGTCCTCCCCCCACTCTCTTGGAGCCCCTTCAAGCACTGGAAGGTGCTCTAAGGTTTCCCTGTAACCTTCACAGGAACCTAAAATCTAAAGCCTAAAACCTTCAGAGTTCTTTTATTCACAGGTTCTAACCCAAGTCGTCCCAGCTGCCCTGACCTGTGTTCCCCTCTCCCTGGCTCATCCTGCTCTGGGCAGGGGGAGCAGCAGGGGAGGGAGAGGACAAGCAGGGCAGGTGTGTCAGGGCCTGATCCCCTGCTCCTGCCGTGCCCCCAGCCGTGGGCTGGGTCAGGCTCTGCCCTCACCTGGCACAGCCCATGAACGCCCATTCTCTGGGAAAGGATGCAGGATCCACGTGCCAGGCTCGGCTCCAGGCATGGCTCACTGCCCGGGGACTGTGAGGGGTGACAGTGGCACTTTCACTGCTCATTGTGAGGGGTGACAGTGGCACTTTCACTGCTCATTGTCACTGGGGACAGTGGCACTTCCACTGCTCATTGTCACTGGGGACAGTGGCACTTCCACTGCTCATTGTCACTGGGGACAGTGGCACTCCCCATTGCTCATTGTCATTGGGGACAGTGGCACTTCCACTGCTCATTGTCACTGGGGACAGTGGCACTCCCCACTGCTCATTGTCAGAGGTGACAGTAGCACTTTCACTGCTCATGGTGAGGGTGACAGTGGCACTTCCCACTGCTCATTGTGAGGGGTGACAGTGGCACTTCCACTGCTCGTTGTCATTGGGGACCGTGGCACTTCCACTGCTCATTGTCACTGGGGACAGTGGCACTCCCCACTGCTCATTGTCATAGGGGACAGTGGCACTTCCACTGCTCATTGTCACTGGGGACAGTGGCACTCCCACTGCTCATTGTCATTGGTGACAGTGGCACTTCCACTGCTCATTGTCATTGGTGACAGTGGCACTTTCCCTGCTCATTGTCATTGGTGACAGTGGCACTTCCCCTGCAGGTACAAGCAGGAGATCCTGCGGCTGAGGAACGCTGGGGGCAGCGAGGTGCCCGCAGTGCCCCGTGCCAGCCACGAGCCAGCGCAGCCCCAGCCTTGGGAGGTGTGTGTTCATGGAGTGCCAGGCAAGGATCCCTCTCGGGCTGGGAGGTGGGAACAGCGAGAGAAGCCACGTGGGTGTTTCTGCTCTTAAATTCACAGGAGTAAACGAGACCAGACCACGGCGTCTGTCTGTGCCCGCCAGGCTGCAGGAATTCTCTCTTCCCTGAGCACCCCTCGGACACGGGGCAGGGATCCCAGGCAGCTCTTCACTGCTGGGCTGCAGGGACAGGTTCCTGCTCCTGCTGGAACATTTTTTCCTGGATGAGACCTGGAGCTGGACCAAGGGCTGCTCCTGCCTCGCTCCCCTCACCCCTGAGACACAGCCAAGGCTGGCTCAGACCAGGATTTGTTTGGGCTTGGACAAAGGGATGAGCTGCTCTTTTACTGGGAGGGTGGTGAAAGGCTGCCCAGAGCAGCCCTGGATCCCTGGCAGTGCCCAAGGCCAGGCTGGGCAGGGCTTGGAGCAGCCTGGGACAGTGGAAGGTGTCCCTGCCATGGCAGGGATGAAACAAGAGCAGCTTCAAGGTCCCTTCCAACCCAACCCATTCTATGGTTCTGTGATTCTGGGGTGGGAAAACGGGAAAACCCCATTTTCCTCTGGGTTTGAGTGGAAAATAGAATATTATATTGACAAGCAGGGCCAAACTGATCCTGCACAGAGGTGAGCTGGAAAAGATGGCAGAACAAAGCCCAAGTCCAGGAGCAGCAGCTGCTCCAGCTCCAGGACCATCCAGCAGCTCAAAGACAAAGCAAAAACCTTAGAGGAATAATCAACCAATACTTTAACGTTTTTAATTTAAAACTTAAATTGAAATAAAGCAGCAATCATCCAAAAAGAGGCACTGGAGCGTCATCCCTTCAATCCTGCGTTAATCCCAGGATTTCCAGGTCTGATTCTCTCCTCCCTTGCTTTGCTCACACTCTGGAAAAATGAAGATCTGCCACCCTGCAAGTCCCCAGGGCAAATGCTGGCCAAGCACTTCTGTCCTAAGCTGAGCCAGGGGCTGGAGTGGCTCTGACCCTTAACGCCAGGCTTAAGGAGGCTGCTGTTAACCCGGGCTTAACGAGGCTGGGCTCAGAGCCGGCTCTGCTGGGCGCTGCCCTGCACCTCCCGCCGCACCTCCTTGATGTCGTAGGCCCAGACCTGGTCCAGGCCCTGGCCCAGGGTGCTGCTGGGGCTCCAGCTGGGGAAGGGGTAGCGTCCCGCCACCACCCGCGCGTCGTCGGGCAGCTCTGCCAGGAGCTTGCTGGCCAAGGGAGGCTTCTGGGGAGAGACACAGCCGGGACAGGCAGCCTTAGCACACAGTCACACAGTGGCAGTGCCACCAGGGACCGTGGGGCAGCTCCTGGGACATCGACCCTTCAGAGCAGAGGGCTGCTACTGGCCCTGGGTGAGGCTGGGACTTGGAGCAAGCCATGAGCAACAGGACAAAGGAACAGCCTCAAGTGGCACCAGGGCAGGCTTGGGTTGGATATTGGGAGAATTCCTTCATGGAAAGGGTGGTCAGGCACTGGCACAGCTGCCCAGGGCAGTGGTGGGGTCACCATCCCTGCAGGGCTTTAACGTGGGTGTGGCACTTGGGGACACGGCTCAGTGCTGGGGGATGGCAGGACTCCATCGCAGAGGGATTTTCCAACCTCCATGATTCCATAAATCCAAATGCTGTGTGGCACCAAACCACTCAGCCACAGGGATGTCCACCTGGCCTTACCCATGCCAGACCCCCTCTGTTTCCCAGGACAAGCCCCCTCGGGCTGGCCCAGAAGAACTCGGGGTGTGAGGGGCTGACTCACCACGCTGGGGGCCAGGAACACGATCACGTTGTGGCAGTCTGAGAGATTCACCTGAACACAGAAGGAAAAGGGGAATAACGAGCAGCAGGCAGAGCAGGAACAACTGTGCGAGTGTCCAAACCTTGTGGGTGATCTCTGGAACCTTGCAGGGAGCAAAGGTGCCACAAAAGATGTGGGATGGGGAAGTGTGGGTGTAAAAGCAGCATCTCTTGGGAAACACCTGCCTCCAGCACCATCCCAGACCCACATTCCCTGATGGATTCTCTCTGCTCAGGCTGCAAATACCTCAGGGCAGCCTGAGAAGCTCATCTCTGCAGGTGAGCCTGTCAGCAGCACCCAGACCTCTCCTCAGAGCTGCTCCAAGCAGCAGAACTGGCCACGGCCTGCCCCAGCTGGCATTCCCTGGAAAGGAGGATGCATTTCCACCTCCCACCTGGCATTCCCTGGAAAGGAGGATGGATTTCCACCTCCTAGGAGCAGTGTGGGATGGGGAAGGAGCAAGCAGCCATCAGCAAATCCATCCTGGAGAGGCAAACAGAGCTCTGGCCCTGCCCTGAGCACATCCAGACCCTCGGGATGCTGTTACCTTCCACAGATCCTCCTTCAGGAAGGAGATCTTCCCGTGGTACCCAGCCTTCCAGGCACGGTAGTGGGCCAGGCACAGCAGCCAGGGGTTGAGCTCATAGCCCAGGGCTGGCCTCAGCCCTTGCTTGTAAGCCTCGAGCACCTGGAGGGGGAGAGAGGGGGGCTGAAAGCCAAAGCACCTCGGTGCTGAGGGCAGGATTTGGGTGGGCAGGGGCTGCTGCCCACCCCACTCACCCCATCCTGCTGGCCCAGGGCAGGGTGAGCTCGGAGCTCAGCACCACCCACTCCCTCATTCCCACCCTGCTCCCTGCATGTGTCCTTCAGAGCTGCCAAAGATCACCTACGGCCATCTAGAGCCACCTGGACCACCTGGGGCTGCCTAGAACCACCTGGGGCTGTTCAGAGCCACTGAGGACCATGCTGGGTCACCTAGGGCCACCAAGGTCACCTAGGGACACCCAGGACACTCTAGAACCACCCACTGCTGTCTAAGACCACTGAGGACCCTCTGGGACCACTGGGGATGGTCCTGGACCGTAGCCAGGAGGATCAGCAGACACACAGCCAGAAGCCAGGCAGCAGCAGGGCGGGGGTCTCCCCTCCACCCTCCCGTGCAGCCCCCCGACACCCCAAGCCCCCCGAGCCTTACGAGCCGTCCATCTCCAGAGCCCAGATCCACGGTCTTGCCGGCACGGCCCCGCAGCAGTGCCAGGGTGTTGGCCACCTGCCGGGGGCTGGAGGGCTGGTAGGGCACCTGGGGGGCACAGGGGGTCAGGGGGCAGGGCTGGGTGCCGGGGCAGGGCGGGCCGCGCCCAGCTCGGCTCGCCCGGCTCGCCCGGCTCCCAGCCCGGCTCCAGCGCCGCGTCCCAGCCCGGCTCCATGGCCGCCGGAAGGGGAGGGAGCACGGCCCCAGCCTTCCGCCGGGAGCGGCCCCGGACACCGGGACACGGGGGGGACACGGCCCCGGGACACCGGGACACGGCGGGGACACGGCCCCGGGACACGGGGGACGGGAGTGACACGGCCCCGGGGCTGCAGGAGAGGCAGAACTCGGCGTGGTTGTGTGCGAGTGTGCACAGCGGGGTGTGTGTGATAAGAGCTGTGTGTGAGAGTGTGTGTATGTCTGTGTGTGTGTGTGTGATAACAGCTCTGTGTGTCTCTGTGTGTTTGTGCAGAGCTGTTTTTGCTCCGGGGCAGTTCTGCACGGTTGGTGTGCACACATTTGTGTGGAGCTGTGAGTGGTGGATGGCTGTGCACTGCTGTGTGTGTGTCTGTGTGTGTCTGTGCAGGCTGTGCACGGCTGCTGTGTGCAGGGGTGTGCTGCTGTGTGCTGAGCACGATGGGCTGTGTGTGCTGGGGAACAGCTCTGTGTGTGTGCACAGTGTGTGTGTGTGCACAGTGTGTGTGGGGCTGTGAGTGGCTGTGCACAGTGTGTGGGGGGCTCTCAGTGCCTGCAGCTCTGTGTTTGTGCACAGTGTGTGACCAAGCACGGTTGTGTGTGGCGCTGAATCGTGGTTCAGCCGTGCACAGCCAGGTTCAGCTGTGTGTGGCTGTGTGTCTGTACCGTGACACACAGCTGTGTGTGTTTGTGTCCTGCTGCACAGCTCTGTGTGGCTGTGCAGGGTTCTGCACACCTGTCTGAAGGGTTCTGATACACAGGTTTGCACAGATGAACACGGCCGTGTGAAGCTGTGGGTGTTGTTGTGCAGGGCTGTGTGTTTGCTTGTGCACAGTTTGTGCAGCTGAGCAGGGTCCTGCAGGGCTGTTGCAGGTGTCCTGGTGAGCAGGGTGAGCAGGGTTGTGTGCAGTGGTGCCCAGCTGTGCACAACCGCCTCTGCACGGCTGTGTGTGCGTTGCCATGGGCAGCTGTGCCAGCTGTGTGCAGTTGTGCACGGTGCTGCCCGCGTGTTGGCACTCCTTCTGGGCTGTGCATGGATTTGTGTGTGGCTACTGCTTTTGTGCACAGCCCTGTGTGAGGTTGTTGGGGCTGTGCACACCCGTGTGGGGCTGTAGGGGCTGTGCACACCCGTGTGGGGCTGTTTGGGGCTGTAGGGGCTGTGCACACCCGTGTGGGGCTGTAGGGACTGTTCGGGGCTGTTTGGGCCCTGCTGCCTCAGCCGGGGTTTTCCTGCTGTGAGGCAGCAGCGACTGTGGGAAAATTCCAGGCGTTGTGGGGGCCAGCCAGGCCCCGCAGCCCCTGCCCAGCCCCAATTAGTGACCCCCCCCCAAGCAGCCCAGACGCAGGAACAACACCCGTTCAGAAGGCACAAAGGGCCGCAGCCCCCTGCCAGGACGGCCACATGTCACCGGGGATGCCACTGCTGTCACCTCCCCCCGTCTCTCCTCAGCCTTGGGTCAGCATTTGTGGGCTTTGCAGGTGTGGGTGTTGTTGTGCAGGGCTGTGTGTTTGCTTGTGCACAGTTTGTGCAGCTGAGCAGGGTCCTGCAGGGCTGTTGCAGGTGTCCTGGTGAGCAGGGTGAGCAGGGTTGTGTGCAGTGGTGCCCAGCTGTGCACAACCGCCTCTGCACGGCTGTGTGTGCATTGCCATGGGCAGCTGTGCCAGCTGTGTGCAGTTGTGCACGGTGCTGCCCGCGTGTTGGCACTCCTTCTGGGCTGTGCATGGATTTGTGTGTGGCTACTGCTTTTGTGCACAGCCCTGTGTGAGGTTGTTGGGGCTGTGCACACCCGTGTGGGGCTGTAGGGGCTGTGCACACCCGTGTGGGGCTGTTTGGGGCTGTAGGGGCTGTGCACACCCGTGTGGGGCTGTAGGGACTGTTCGGGGCTGTTTGGGCCCTGCTGCCTCAGCCGGGGTTTTCCTGCTGTGAGGCAGCAGCGACTGTGGGAAAATTCCAGGCGTTGTGGGGGCCAGCCAGGCCCCGCAGCCCCTGCCCAGCCCCAATTAGTGACCCCCCCCCAAGCAGCCCAGACGCAGGAACAACACCCGTTCAGAAGGCACAAAGGGCCGCAGCCCCCTGCCAGGACGGCCACATGTCACCGGGGATGCCACTGCTGTCACCTCCCCCCGTCTCTCCTCAGCCTTGGGTCAGCATTTGTGGGCTTTGCAGGGCGTCCTCCTCCAGCGGCGTTTCGGGGTGTCCCCTGAGGGCCTGGGGGGTCTGGTGGCCCCCGTGTCCTTGCCACAGGACCGCCAGCTTCATCACGTCCCTCGGTGTCTCCGTTCCCAGCGGAGAAGAGCCCCGGCCCTGGGGGGTCTGGTGGCCCCCGTGTCCTTGCCACAGGACCGCCAGCCTCATCACGTCCCTCGGTGTCTCTGGGGCCGTTCCCAGCGGAGAAGAGACCCCAGCCCGTGCTGGGAATGGCTTTGGGGTGCAGGGAAGCAGAATTGGGATTCCCACTCCTCAGCGCTGGGGCCGGCACAGGCCCAGCCCCCCGGAGCCCCTCTTTGGGGACGAGCCAAGGGCAGGAGTGTTCCTGCCCCCGCCTCCCCCTGATTTGTGGGAACCGGGCGGGATGAGGATGCACACACACCCACACACGTGTTCTACCCCCAGACACAGCTCAGGGCACTGACAACGCCAGATCCCATTAATCACGTTCCCGGGAGCAGCAGTGGGGCTCCAGCGGGGAGCTGAAGCCGCCCCCAAACACAGCCCGGGGCTGCTCCCTCCCCTGCCGCCCCAAAGGGCCCGGCGTGGCCAAAGCGGGGCTGCGGGGATCACCCCGATTTTCCGCTTTCTGCTCTTTCTCGCTGGCAGGTGGAGCTGGTTAAAGCAGAAAATCCAGGGAAACCGGAGCCGGGGGCCGGGGGCTGCAGAGGAGGAGGATGGTCCGTGGGGATGAGCCGCTCCTGGAGCCGCCCGAGCGCCCCTGCGGTGCTGCAGAGCGAATTCAGTCAGGGGGCAGTGCCCGGGCAGGGCTGAGCCTCCCTGCCGGGCCCCCGGGATTTAGCAGGGGGGTGGCCGGTCCCTCCTGCCCCTGGCCCGGGGTGCCCGCAGCATCTCGAGCAGGTGGCCGTGCGAGGGGACCGGTTGCGATGTGTCACTGGAGCCGAAGAGCTTTTAATCCTCCTCTTTCCAGGGCAGCTTCCCCCGCCGGGGCCGCGGCGGCTGCAAAGCAGCCCCGACCGCCAGGAATTTGTCGCTATGTGCTGGGAAAGCCGCTTCCCACCAGCTGTCGGCAGCCGGACGCGGGGGACGGGGTGAGGGGCCGAGGGGGCCCCGCTGCGGGCCGGGGTCCGGCTGCAGCCCCAGCATCCCTCCCCGCGCTGGGATGGCGCTGCCTTGCCTTTGTCCCGGTCAGAGGATGGGGCTGGAAGCAGACCTGGTGTTAGGATTTGGGGTACAGCTCCCCAGAGTTGTGGGGGTGTCCTCAGAGTTATCGGGTTTTCGCTTCTCCTCTTGCCGAGGGCTGTGGGGTGGAGCTTCCTCCCGCCCCAAGGTGCTCATCCTGGACCCCAGGGGCTTCATCCTGAGTTTAAACTCCAGAGGCATCATCCTGACCCTAAGGGGTACCCCTGAGCCCCGGGGCTTTTATCCTGAGTTTATGGGGCTTCCCCTGGTCCCAGGGGCATCATCCAACCCTATGGGACATCCTCAAACCCCAGGACCTTATCCTGGCCCTATAGGGCCTCCCTGAACCCCAGGGACATCACCCTGACCCCAGTGGGGATCCCCTGGTCTCAGGGCCACCCCCGTGCCCCACGGCAGCCCGGAGCTCTGGGGTGCTGCCGGCGGGGTGGGCAAGCTGCCCGGGGGTCCCTGGGGGTCCCCACTCGGTGCTGGGGCCGCAGGGAGGGCTGAGCGGGCCCGGCCGCCTTTGTGCCTCCCCTTTGTGCCCCGCGATTCACACGTTCTGCTTTCATCCGGCAGCCGGGGAGGAGGAGGCGAAGGGAGCAGGGGAGGGGGAGAGGGGCTGGAGGGGGGAAATGGCGGGAAACGGCGACTCCCTTTGTGTGACAGGGACGGGGACAGGGACCGCGGACACCCGCCGCTGCCACCGCTCCGTCCCGGTGGGGACGCCCACCCACAGCGTGGCTGGAGGGCTCCGCAGTGCCCAGCAGGCTCCCGGGGTGTCGGGTCCACAGTGGGGCTGATCCCACGGAATGAGGAGCCCCAGGGGCATCCCTGGGCACGTCCACACCGAGGGAGCTGCTTTGGGGCGCTGCTCTCCGGGGCTCCCCCAAAGCCCACCCCGGGTGGGGCAGGCTGGTGACCGGGGGGGCTTTTGGAGCAGGTCTGGCTGGATCATCCCCACCATGGCACCCACAGGCAGGGCCACCCTGCCCTGTCCTGCCCTGTCCTCCCACAGCCCCTCACCATGGTCACCCCTCCCCGAGCCCCTCCTGACCCCCCCAGCTCCACTCGGTGTCCCCACCCCGCTGCCTCCCAGCACATTTTCCATCCTGTGGAGGAAATATTCCCCGGGATGGAGTTTGTCTCATTGTGTTTTCACCCTTCATGGCCTTGCTCTGTGCCAAGAGGCCGGGCAGGAATTTGGCTCGGCCGGGGCCGGACTCTGCTTTCGGGGAAATGCTGGGATGGCCGGTCCTGGAACGACAGAGATCCCAGAGCTGTGGGATTCCATCTGCTTCCCTCGGGAAGGGCTGTTAGCCCCGTCTCACAGAGGGGAAACTGAGGCACGGCTGCCAGGGTGTCCCGTGGGATGATCCCACGGGAAGTGTCGGTGCCCTGGCCGGCGCCCAGCGCCAGCCGGGGGGAGCGAGGGCGGGCGACCCAACCTGACAGGGGGCAGAGGGCACCAAAAACAGCCCGAAAACCTCTGTGCCAGAACCCGAGCGGAGTAACAGCCCTTCCGCAGCAGCGCACCGAGCTGCTTTGGCCAAACAAACAGATGGGAAGAAAAACAGGAGGTTTTGCTGCTGGGCACAAAAGTGCCGGATGCCTCGCGTTAAACGGCGACT